GTCTCATTAAATACTCAGCACACTCACTGATGACATGCTGTATTGAAAAGCCTCATGGGATGGCCATCCACCATACTGTACATGCTGATAATGGCTCGGCTGAGCCAGCAAGTATTCGGAATAGGCCGCTGAGCTAAAATGTGCAACTTGAGGTATAGGATCACGTGCTACGGGATGAAGAATCCTGTATGTGGTGTATTCGTCCTCCTCCATTCTGGAGTATACAGGTTCTGCTGAAGTCTGATGGCTGACGAGATTTCCCATTCCAGGACTTCCATGAGGGTGTTGGAAAGGGGCCACTGACCCTTCAGGCAGGGCTATTCTGTAGGTGTACTCGTGCCCTTCCAGCTCACTCATTTTCCTGATACTGTAATGGTTCAGAGGATGGCGCTGGAGTCACAAAGAAAAGAGAACATCATATCAGTATGCTAAATGTTCGTTTTAGTATACACATTAGTCTTTTATGTTAGTCAGTTAGTTATTTATTATTTAAATCCTTGGTTTTTGTTTAATTTAAAAGTTTAATAATTTGTTATATTTTATTAGTGTTTTATGTATCCATAATTACTATTTATAAATGTTTGAGATTTATGCTATACTAAATGAAATCCAGCTAAATGTTATTGACATTTAGATGAAATCAAATACTTGTTTTTATACATTTAATTATTGTTAACAGTTCTTTTATTTTATTTAAAAATAAAATTGATGCATTTAAGTAACAAAAACTATTTATAAATTTAGATTAATTAACTATAACCCTGATCAAATTGGTTCAACATAACCATTTTAACTGTAGTTAGTTCCAGTTATTGTATCCTACTTCAATTGTTTTGAGCTAGAACTAAATGAAATGAATATGGTTAATAAATATGATTATTTAGACACTGTATGTTTCACGACACTGATGAACTATGGTTAGTGTAGCAAAACCATGGTTGCTGTATTACGTTATACTATGGTAATCATAAATCAACCATGGGTTTGCTACACTAACCATAGTTTAACCATTTAGTAAAACAATGGCTAAATAACTTCATTCTGCCAAAGAAACATGTCTATACTACACTTTTAGTATAAGAAAAAACATGGATAACGTTTATTTTCATAAGGGTAACCATTGTTTATATTTTTACTTTCAGTCAACACTGGTCTTGAATGACTAGAGTAAAACAACTAATAAATGTTCGTTTATGAAGTAAAATATACACAAATAGACACGTTTTGTAAACGTATAACGTTAGTAAACGGCCCCAGCTAACATAGCGATTCGGCTAATCATTTCCAAAGTCTGTCATTTCATTCGCCTCAGGAAATTATTATGAAGCCTATCGAGATTATAATACACTTACCAGACAAATAAGCAAATACAGAATTTTAAAATTACAATATTGTCTTAGCTGACACTGGATGCGTTGTTGACGTGACAGTTACTGTAAAAAAAGTGAATGTTATGAGTTCGCGCCACAGGGTTGCCAAGTCCGCGCATAGGCTACATTTTTATCACTTGCTGCGGGTGGTTAAAGGTTTTATGCATGAATTCCATTTATTATATGGTTGCCTTTAAATATTTTACTGTACCAAATTTATATTCCATGACATAAACTGTGCTAGGATGATGAAACAAGAGTAAGCACACTTTTGTTGCACAAGACTTTAGCCAGAAAACCAATGTAACTTAATAAACTAGTTTTCGTTTCCATGGTAACAAAAATACAGGACTTTTTTGAGTACACGAAAGGTAACGACTATTTTTATGATAACATCATGTTTATAATTACGATTATATAGTGTTTTAAATGTGTTTTAAAGGCATTATAATGCATTCAATGAGATAATATATTAAACGAATGGGAATAGCATATTTAGTTTTGATATAGGGTTTGTTTGGGAAGGTGTGTTGCGAAAATCTGGCAACCCTCATATAAAATCACACTTTAAATAGCGTTGTAAGAAGCTCACCTCATCTAAAGACATTTGGTACACTAATACAAAATTAATTATGTCATATTTGCTTTAGTACAAAATGGAATTGATTCAAAAAGTACAACTTATTTTCTTATCCAGCTAATAATTCATTCATTCATTCATTTTCTTTTCGGCTTAGTCCCTTTTTTAATCTGGGGTGGCCACAGCGGAATGAACCGCCAACTTATCCAGCACATGTTTTTATACAGCTGATACCCTTCCAGCTGCAACCCATCTCTGGGAAACATGCATACACACTCATTCACACTCATACACTACAGACAATTTAGCCTACCCAAATCACCTGTACCACATGTCTTTGGACTGTGGGGGAAACCAGAGCACTCAAAGGAAACCCACGTGAACACAGGAAGAACATGCAAACTCCACACAGAAACACCAACTGCTGAAAACAACAGCTTAAACCAGCCTTGACTGGTTGGCTGGTTTAACTGGTCAACCAGGCTGGTTTTAGAGGGGTTTGGCCACTTCCAAGCTGGTTTCCAGCCATTTACAGCCTGATCTTAGCTGGTCAGAATGGGAGTTGGGAGATGACCAGCTAAACCCAGCATGACCAGCTTACCATGGCTGGGAGCCCAGCCAAAACTATGTCCAGCTTAAACCAGGTTGGTCAAGGCTGGAACATGACCAGCTAAAACCAGCTTGACCAGCCTGGATTAAGCTGGACATAGCTGGTTTTGGCTGGGCTACCAGCCAGGCTGGTCAAGTTGGTTTTAGCTGGTCATTTTCCAGTCTGACCAGCTAAGATCAGGCTGGAAACCAGTCTGGAAATGTCCAAAACCCCTCTAAAATCAGGCAGGTCGACCAGCTACAACCAGCCAACCAGCATTAGCTGGTTTAAGCTGTTTTTTTTTCTCAGGAGGGCCAGCCGACAGCTAATAAATTACTTGGAAAATACTATATACATGTCAAGAAATGGTCAAATTGTGAACATTTTATAAAGGAGATTAAACAATATGGTACTACACTATGAAACCTTAAAAACAGGAAGGCTAAAAAAACATAGGAAGCATTATGTAAATTTCATCTGATTAAATAAATGTTTTTTTATTATAATTATCTTACCTGTTAATTTATTTTACTCCTGTCACCTGTTTATACTTTGATTGTACAACTAATATAATTTCTCTCATTTTTGTTTTGCTTTATTTGTTCATAATTGTTGTGAGATATTCTTGTACTAAGTTTGTACTCATTCATTCATTCATTCATTCATTTTCTTTTCAGCTTAGTCTTTTATTAATCAGGGGTCGCCACAGCAGAATGAACCACCAATTTATCCAGCATATATTTTACACAGCGGATGCCATTCCAGCTGTAACCATTACTGGGAAACACCCATACACACACATACACTACAACAATTTAGCTTAACCAATTCACCTGTCTTTGGACTTGTGAGGGAAACCAAAGTACCCGGAGAAAACCCACTCAAACATGGAGAGAACATTCAAACTCCACACAGAAATGACAACTGACTCAGCCGGGGCACGAACCAGTGACCTTCTTGCTGTGAAGCGAACGTACTACCCACCACGCCACCGAGCAGCCCGTACATTTAAACAATAAATAAATAAATAATTTTAAAAGGGAAACTTACCTCATCATTACTAAATATATAATACATTTTGATTGCTTTAAACCCCATATTTCCCATATCAGAGACTTTTTGGATGTTTTTTTCCAAGTTATAGACACTAAAAAGAATAGTTAAACCTGATAAGCTCACGCGAGGTCGTCTAGGCAAGGTGAAGTGTGATGAATTAGATTTTTTGAATTTAGATTTTTTTTGCAATATTCATTTACAAGTGTGTGTGTCTTCGTGTTTTTGTGACATATGAGGACACAAATTTGTATAATGAGCTACACTACAAGAAGGTTGTGAAATATGAGGACATTGCTCATGTCCTCGTTTCTCAAAAAGCTTAAATATATCACACAGAACGATTTTTTAAAAAGTAAAACTGTACACAGCGTCCTGAGGGTTGGGTTTAGGGGTAGGGTGTGGTTAGGACAATAGAAAATACAGTTTGTGTAGTATAAAAACAATGGAAACCTATGTAATGCAGGCCTGTAGCCAGCTTGGTTAAAGGGGTGGTTCTTTTTTCTCAAAACTAGGCCTAGATCTTTTTGCAGTTATTGGCCTCATTTTCTGTTTAACTATGAAACTTAAATACTGCATTTTAGTCACTTTTTAAGCACAAACTTTAGCTGGATTACCTTGTCAGATGGTCATAATAACCACACTTTTTAATGCTCCAACAATATTTTCTAAAGAGCTTAAATAAAAAAAATATAAAAATTGCTTATTTTTTAAAACACAAATGTATTACATTATATATCATTAGAAAAAAATAAGTATCTGTTAAACTTTTACATTAAAACCTGTGGCCCATTGCCATTTATTAGGCAAATAACAAACTGGCCAGCACATTCGACTTTCCTCAGTCACAATTAAAAAATAATAATAATTAAAAAAATCTATCATAATAATAATTTAGAGCTTCACGATTTTTCTAGCCTCTCTTGTAAAAAAAAAAAGTACATTTGAAATTTCATGGATAACAACAATAGCCATATTCAAATTAATTTGAAGATGGTCTGCTTTTGGTTATTTGTTGTTCAAGAATAAGATCCAAAAGTGTGTCTAAGTGCTGGTGAAGTGGGAATTTCGGACTCATATGGAGAAAACAGCCTTTTAAAACATGTTTTGTAACTGAAATCTACGTGCAATATCCTTAAAAGTGTACTTAGGATGCTTTCTTATAATTAGACTGAAACCATTTAAAACCCAAAAAGCCCCAAATCTAAAAATTGATAGCATGCTTGAGGCCTCTCCCAACAGTGATGTTATAATAAATGTGGAAAATAAATGACCATGTAACCATATTAAAGCGCCAGATAAGCATTGCGAAACCGAGTGAATGATTTTCTAATGCATTATCCATAGTCCAGTAAATCGGCTAAATCTGGAGGTTGGACGGATTATGAAACCAAACTCCGCCCCCAACAAGACTGAAGTTGTTCAGCTAGTTAAGAGAGCGCACTTGGGAGCCCTCGAGACGATTATAGGATGAAGGGTAACTTCGCTAAGTGCGGATCGGTGCTCATCACTGGAGCGAGCAGGGGTCTCGGTCTGCAGATGGTCAAACAGCTGCTCGCCACCCCAGAAAGACCCCAAAAGATCATAGCAACCGTCAGGAATCCAGCCGCTGCGGAGGTAGGCCGTCACATCACGCGCGGTAACTTCACTTTGTAATGAAACATGCTTGGAAGTTGCTTAAGGAGTGATTATTATGGTTTGTTTTCGTCTTCAGGAACTACAAAACCTCGCCAAAGCTCATCCAGACGTTCATATCGTGACCCTAGGTGAGTTTTTGTGTCACGTGACTGACGCGGACGCGCATAAAAACACTCACTAAAAACGAGTCACTGCTGTTTTCAGTGGGTTTAATGTAAATAAAGCGATTACATACTGAATATTACACTTATAAAGCGCAGTACACAATTTGTTTTTCGTAAATACACGTTTGTAGCATGCTTCATCTTATATTTGAATTAATTAATTCATATTTATTATGTAACAACAAGTATAAATGTCATAAATAAGTTTAGAAATAAATGTATAAATACTGTAAAGTCTATTTGCATTTTAATAATTCAAATAATTATGTTTTTGTATGCCATCCCAGCTCCACAAACTGCATAAATCATAATAATATGGTAATGGTGAAGTGTATTTCGTTAATGTGGCCAGCAGGTGGAGACAAAAGACTAGAAAATGCTACTTTTGACCAATAACAATCCAATTGTGACCAATTGTGTGTGTGTGTGAAGCTCTTCATACTTCCTTTTAACCATTTTACAAAAATCTAAAATATATTTATACACAAATTTAATTAAATATAGGATTCAACTGATGGTCAAAAACAAAAGGAGCCCATGGCAAAAGTGGAGACCCAGGTACACAATTACAGAATATGTTTTTCCACCAGTCATAGGTTTTACACTGATGTGTATGTTACAATTTTGAGTTTAAAACAATTTAATAGTTGCAAAACTACAATTAAGGAACAAATTATTATTTATTTGATAACTGGAAATTGATTTACAATATACTAATGCCCTATTTTTCTAGGCTTTATTGGTGATAATGGTCAGGAATATTAGACCATTATTTCCTTTAGCATAGGAAGAGGACAGAAACTAGCCTGACAGTAATTGTGTGAATTGTGGAGCGGGCTAAATCTAAAAAAAACATCTGTGTTTTTTAGTAAATGTACCTTTTTTTGTTTTTATTCTTGCCATAATTTAAAAATATTTGCAGAGCAACTCGTGTTCTGTCGTCATTAATATTTTAATAAACTTTAATAGGTAAAACTGTCCGAGATATAAACAAAAGCAAGTGATTCATCAAAGTTTGATTTAAAAAAAATCTTGAATTGTTATAAAAATCCTTAAAATCATTAAAATAATTAATAAAAACAAACAAACAAAAAATTTAAAATCTTGAACGATATTAATGATGTGACGTAGTTCCGGAAACTTCCTACTTTTCTGTTTATCCGTCTGACTCTTCGGTCAGTTTCTTTTGACCACCCCCTGTCGTTTTAAAGAATATCACAACAGCGATCGCACAAAGTATAAAAGCCTCATCCAATTCGCTAGGTTGCGCGCAGCCAGCAGATTTCTGCGATGCGGCCCCAGGCGAAAGTATAAATCCAGCTTTAGCAACCACTCAGAACACACTGTCAACAGCCTAGCAAGAAACATGCTAATCCATACTAGAAACACGCTAACCTACTGTATATGTAGTTATAACCGTTTCAAACTTCTTTAAACTTCAATTATTTAAATTTTGAAAGGACTTCAACCTTGCTAACCACAGAGCCATCGTGTCTTCTATCCAATATTTCATATATTTTTAAGCTGTATGCATTTCAGCTGATCGTTCACAGTAACAATGCTGAAGATCCAGTCTGCATGTGTGATATTTATCTGATCAGACAAGCCTGCTGAGCTGAATACTGTACATTTGAAACAAATGAAACCTTCTGTGTTTCAGATATATCCAATGAAACGAGTGTGAACGCTGCATCTCAAGCAGTTGAAGCCATTGTTGGGGCCAATGGTCTGAACTGCTTAATTAACAATGCGGCGATTGGTTTGAGCTCTGACCTGGACAGCGTCACTCGAGACGTCATGATGAAGACCTACGAGAGCAACACGGTTTCTCCTCTCTTTGTGACCAAGGTATTAGAGGATTCTATTTTCAGTAGTTGTCCATTGAGGGTTTATCCTCCATTGAATAGCGTGTGGTGTTTTTCAGGCTCTCCTGCCGTTGTTGAGGAGAGCGGCGGCTGAGGGGAGTGGTATGAGCATCCAGAGGGCCGCAGTGGTCAACGTTTCGTCTCTTCTGGGATCCGTGCAGCTCAACTGGGGCGAGGGTGCGAGCTTTAAGAGCTACGCTTACAGGGCGTCCAAGGTAAAACTTAGGCACTGAAAATGAATTACATAATGAACAACAGATAACAGCAATCAAAATACTTTGTTTCATGACTTATAGACAGCTCATTAAAAAACTATCACAGCCCTGCTGAAAAATCCAGCTTAAACCAGCCTAGGCTGGTTGGCTGGTTTTAGCTGGTCGACCAGGCTGGTTTTAAAGGGGTTTTGGCCATTTCCAGGCTGGTTTCCAGCCATTTCCAGCTTGGTCTTAGCTGGTCAGGCTGGAAAATGAGCAGCTAAATCCATCGAAAACCAGCTTGACCAGCCTGGTTTAAGCTGGACATAGCTGGTTTTGGCTGGGCTCCCAACCTGGCTAGGCTGGTCAAGCTGGTTTTAGCTGGTCATCTCCCAGCCTGACCAGCTAAGACCAGACTGGAAATGGCTAGAAACCAGCCTGGAAATGGCCAAAACCCCTCTAAAACCAGCGTGGTCGACCAGCCTAGGCTGGTTTAAGCTGTTTTTTTTTCAGCAGGCAGGGTCTGACCAAAGACATTCATCAACCTGAAGGATTTACAACCGGCAAAACACAAACAAAATGGTAAACTTTCTGGTGTACCGAGTGCTCGAATTTTCATTCAGTCTTTCAGTTGGACTAAATTAGTGTACTAATGTAGGGAATAGTGAGTGAGGGTTCTCAATCTCATTCCTGGAGGTTCGGTGTCCTGTAGATTTTAGCTCCAACCCCAATTAGACACACCTGGGCTAGCTAATCAAGCACTTACTAGGCTTTTTAGAAACATCCCTGCCTTACCTGCCAACAATCCCGTTTTTGTAGAGAGTCTCCTGTATTTCAGACCCATCTCCCGTATTTTTCTGCCCCCTCATCACCCCCACCCCTGCTGTGCACTTTGCGCGCACCCACGGATAAAATCTCCCGGATTTTATGATCTGAATGTTGGCAGGTATGATCCCTGCAGGTGTGTTGAGGTAAGATGGAGGTAAAATCTACAGGGCAGTTTAGTGGCATTGTGGGGAATAGTGATTCAGTTTTTATACAAGATGTAAAATAAATCTCTGATGCCTCTAGAGTGTGTATGTGAAGTTTCAGCTCTTGGAAATGTTTGATCTAATGTTTGATAGCTCTTTGAAATGGCCCCTTTTAGGCTTTGATTCTAAATTTGCCATTTTGGTGACTGTCGCTTTAAATTCAAATGAGAGTTTGAATCAAAAGAGGGCAGAGCTATAAATGCCTGTAGCTGCGTCCGAAACCGCATACTTCCTTACTATATAGTACGCTAAAATCAGTATGCGAGCCGAATAGTATGTCCGAATTCATAGAATTTGAAAATCAGTATGCGAGAAGTACCCAGATGACTTACTACTTCCGGCGAGATTCAAGAGTGCGCATCCCATGAATCTCATGATGCCCCGCGAGCAAATTCATGAATGGGAGTAAAGCGACGCAATTGACGCAGGTAGGTCACGTGACTATGACAAAATGGCGAAAGTAGTACGTCCGAATTCCATTCATACTTTTCACGTTTATACTGTATAGAACGTACTTTTCTAATGGCCGAGTAGTTCGCTTAAATTCTAATGCAGTACCTACTGAGTGGTAGGCGGTTTCGGAGGCAGCCTGTGTGTCAGTATAATGGCAGATTCAAAAGCAAGACTAATATCCTGTGCTAATGAGGGAGAGATTGTCTCCAGTCGGTTGAGCTTTTCCCTTTAGATGACTCATAAACAAGCGAGAATGTCAATCAAAGTGTTTCTGCAGACTGCTTTATATAATTTGTGATTATGAAAAAACAAATTAATATAATTAAAATTAATAATAAAAAAAAATTAATGCATTTTTACCAATAGAAGCTGGGTATATTTACTGACCCTTGCCACACAACTGTGTTTAAACCCCTTTCAAAAGTCAATTTTTGCATGATGGGATGACAAAAAAGCTAAATTTTCCACGACATGTCAACCATATTGCTCACATAGAGCAGTGTAATTTAATTGTGTCAAGACCTCCGGTCTCATTCACTTCCATACATTTTAGTTAAAAAAACCTCTTTGTTGTTGTAAGCTTTAATTTTATTATGATATTGTTCTAATATATTTGACTGCCAGACGACGAGTGGAAAAGAAACAATTTGGCACGAGAAAAAAAGACTAACCATAACAATAAGAAAAACATGGAATAATGCAATAAAAAAGGTACAGAAAAATTACATTTTGATAAATGGAAAGTAAAATTAAACCAATAAAAGCGAGTGGTTTGTGTGGCTTTGTGCTTTATTTTTTCATGCATAATGAAAATAACATCACGCTTTGGTATTTAACCATGGCATTCATATCACAAGCACATCTGTGGCCAGACCTCACAGTTTGTTCTCTCCAGATAATTTGTCCCTCTATTCCCTCTGCATAACATTGCTGTGTAAAAACTTGAGTTTTGAGTCCTGGGGCTGATGTGTCATATGACAGAAAGCTGCTGTCGACATTATTCTCATATGAGGATTAGCAAAAGTAAAGCAACACGGTACTTTTTGGAAAGGGTATTTAAAAATGGTAGTCTAATTAACTTTTTTGGTGTATTTAACAGTGGAAATGGACAAAAAAAACATAACATAACTCATGAAAATGGACCATTAGTATCATATACAGTGCATACGGAAAGTATTCATAGCACTTCACTTTTTTTTTTCACTTTTTTATGTTACAGCCTTATTCAAAAATGGATGAAATTTCCTCAAAATTCTACACACAATACCCCATAATGACAATGTGAAAAAGATTTTTTGAAATTATGGCAAATTTATTAAAAAAAAAAAAAAAACTGAAAAATCACTGAGCTCAGGTACATTCTGTTTCCGCTGATAATTCTTGAGAAGTTTCAGCAGCTTAATTGGAGTTCACCTGTGGTCAATTCAGTTGATTGGACATGATTTAAAAAGGCATACACCTGTCTAAATAAGGTCCCAGGGTTGACGGTGCATGTCAAAGCACAAACTAAGCATGAAGACAAAGGAATTGTCTGTAGACCTCTGAGGCACAGGGCTGGGGAAGGTTACAGAAAACTTTCTGCTGCTCTGTCAACTGATACATTAAGAGAGGACGGGACCTAAATAGCTACTGGAGTAGTGTTTGTTTTATCACAGCTCTGGGGCATCAAATAAAGAGCAAATGAGAAGCGTCTTGAAGTGGACGGGTAATGTCATATTCTAGAGAGCATTTGTTTGGTCGGGAATTGATGAGAAATTGAAGTATGTGGTGACATAAAAAAAAAACAAACATTGCATTTAGATGGAAGTGAGAAACTGCAGGCTTTGGACGTTTATATCGGTTTTAGATTTCCTAAACGTGAATTTTGTTTTGGAGCACACTAGCTTATAGACATCTTTAAAACTAAAATACTGATTCTAAACTCTAAAAAATGTTATTTAAATTTTAATAAAACTCACAGAACCTTTAAATTAGCCTTTGATTTTTCATTTTTAAATACAGAGTGCGCTGAATATGGTAACAAGGTGTTTGGCTGCTGATCTGGAAGCTGACGGCATCTTGTGCGTGGCTCTTCACCCCGGTTGGGTGCGCACTGATATGGGTGGACCAATGGTGAGTCTACATGATGTTTTTTTTTTCTTTTCTTTTTATTCCTAAAAACGACTTTGATTTTAACCCATTTACTTCCCATTTACAGGCTCCTTTGAGTCCAGAGGAGAGCATTTCATCCGTGCTGTCCGTCATTGCTGGATTAAAGGAGGAACATCACGGTGGATACGTGGACTACACTGGGAAAAACCTACCCTGGTGATCTGCCCATACTGTGTTTCCACGCTTGTCACGTTGACCGAGTGCCAGATGACCACTGAGAATGCAGAAAAACAGCCTGTCTTATTAATTATTCATGTTTCCGCCTGTTTGTGTCCACTAAACCTGAGCCGTTTGTACTTTTGATTACAGAAAATAAACTGTGCTACTTGTCAGAAAAAAAATCAGTTATGATTATTGCTTTTATTGGTCAAATATATATATTTTGTTTTTTTTACTCACCGGCCACTTTATTAGGTACACCAGTCCAACTTTTCATTAACCCAAATTTCTAATTAGCCAATCACATGGCAGCAACTCAATGCATTGAGGCATGTAGACATGGTCAAGACGATCTGCAGCAGTTTAAACCGAGCATCAAAATGGGAAAGAAAGGCAATCTAAGTGACTTTGAACGTAGCATGCTTGTTGATGCCAGACGGTTGTTGGTGCCAGAGTATTTAAGGACAAATTTGAACAAAAGAAGATTGGAAAAACGTTGCCTGGTCTGATGAGTCTTAATTTTAGCTACGAAATTTGGATGGTAGGGTCAGAATTTGGCATCAACATGAAAGCATGGATCCATCTTGCCTTGTATTAACGGTTCAGGTTGGTGGTGGTGGTGCAATGATGTGGGGGATATTTTTTTGGCACACTTTGGGCTCATTAGTACCAACATAGCATTGTGTCAACACCACAGCCTACCTGAGTATTGCTGATGACCATGTCCATCCCTTTATGACCACAGTGTACCTATCTTCTGATCACTACTTCCATCAGGATAACGCACCATGTCATGAAGCACAAATTATCTAAGACTGGTTTCTTGAACTGTACTCAAATGGCCTCCACAGTCACCAGAACTCAATTCAATAGAGCACCTTTGGGATGTGGTGGAATGGGAGATTCGCAGCATGGTTGTGCGTCCGACAAATCTGCAGGAACTGTGATGCTATCATGTCAATATGAACCAAAATCTCTGAGGAATATTTACAGTATCTTCTCAAATCTATGTAGGAAGGATTACAGCAGTTCTGAAGGCAAAAGGGGGTTCAACTTAGTACTAGTAAGGTGTACCTAATAAAGTGGCCGGTGAGTGTATATTGGTATTTAACAAGATCATACATATTATTATGATATGATACAGAATAAAAATAATTACAGACTGTTAGTTTTCTTACTTTCCCACTATCCACTACATTTTTACTGCCTAAACTTTTCTGCTCACCAAGGCTGTATTTATTTGAGGTGTACAGTAGAAAATGGTCAAGAGCAAAATATTATTACAATAAATTAAGTTTTCCTGTTGTATGTAGTTTAATTCATTGTGATTTAAAGATCAATTTTCAGCATCATTATTCTAGTATTTGGTGTCATGATCCTTCAGAAATCATTGTGATTTGCTGTTCTATTATGATCAATTATTGCAACTCAATTAATTATGATTCATGTAATCATCAAAGTTAAAAACATTTTTCAGCTTCTTGGGATTCAGTAGGTAGCGCTGTCGCCTCACAGCAAAAAGATCGCTGGGTCACTGGTTCGAGCCTCTGTGTGTCTGTGTGGAGTTTGCATGTTCTCCCTGCATTCGCGTGGGTTTCCTCCGGGTGCTCCGGTTTCCATCACAGTCCAAAGACATGTGGTACAGGTCAATTGGGTAGGCTAAATTGTCCATTGTGTATGAATGAGTGTGGATGGATGTTTCCCAGAGATGGGTTGCAGCTGGAATTGCATCCGCTGCATAAAAACCTGCTGGATAAGTTGGCAGTTCATTCCGCTGTGGCGACCCCGGATAATAAAGGAACTAAGCCAAAAAGAAAATGAATGAATGAATGCATTTTAAATCTTTTTTACACACAATTCCTTCAAGCTATTCTAAAACAAATCGATTAAGTTAGCTTAATTGTTTTATGTTCAATCCACTTTAATTTGTAAAAACAATTAAGTTGTCCCTCCAAAAAAATTAGAATTTACGGGTACACACTCTAGCCCGGATCCAGAAAGCTCCCCCCTCAGATTTAAATAGGTATCTGGTTTAATAGTGTGGGGTTGGGGTGGTGGAGGGATGCTGAATTCGAGAGAAAACGGAGGTATGACATGTTTGACTATAGGGGTTTGCTCTTGAGCGGATTGGATAATAGAATGATTGTGTGTGTGATGACTTGGCCTCGTCAAAGACTGATCATGCTCCTTCTGAAATTTGTTTATAAAACATCACTTTGTGTTCATTTATTTATTCATTTTCTTGTCGGCTTAATCCCTTTATTAATCCGGGGTCGCCACAGCGGAATGAACCGCCAACTTATCCAGAAGGTTTTTATGCGCTGTCGCCTCACAGCAAGAAGGTCACTGGTTCGAGCCTTGACTTGGTCGGTTGGTGTTTCTGTGTGGAGTTTGCATGTTCTCCCCGTGTTGGTGTGGGTTTCCTCCGGGTGCTCTGGAGTCTGGTTTCCCCCACAAGTCCAAAGACATGCGCTATAGGTGAATTAGGTAAGCTGAATTGTCTGTAGTGTATGAGTGTGTATGGATGTTTCCCAGTACCGGGTTGCAGCTGGAAAGGCATCCACAGCGTAAAACATATGGTGGATAAGTTGGCGGTTCATTCCGCTGTGGTGACCATTAATTAATAAAGGGACTAAGTCGAAAAGAAAGTGAATATTTCTTCGTTTTATCATGTTACAGTATTTTTGATCAAATAAATGACTTTTTTTTTTTTTTTCAAAATATCAACATTTTAGACTGATGATTAAAGATATTGAAAACTAAAAGATCAGACAGAGGATAAGCTGAGTGGAATGCCATTTATGAGTTTTATTTTTGAATCCATCTCCACATCAGCCGTCGAGTGATTGTGAATACGTGGCCATATTGAAGGTTTAGCGTGTTATGAGTGTGAATGAACAGCCTCTGAGAGAGAAAGAGTTCAGCGTGACACAGTGGAGGAGGTCAGGGTGTGCGAGTGCTCACTTCGGTCAAATTTAGGGTTGACTGATCTCTTCTGATGTGAGAGAGGACGGCAGGCTGTCCAGAGCCCCAATTTCTGCAGGATGAAGAAAAAAGTACAAATGGGGACAATAAGAACAATTCACTTCCTCAGTCAAGATGCAGTTGAAGTCAAAATGATTCACTTTCTAGTGATTTATTTATTTTTTTCTTTTACAATTATTTCCCAAATGATGTTTAGCAGAGCAAGGAATTTTCACAGTATTTCCTATAGTATATTTCTTCTGGAGAAAGTCTTATTTATTTTATTTCGGCTAGATTAAAGCAGTTTAGATTTTTTTTAAACATCAGGAGGGCTACTAATTTTGACTTTAGCTATATATTGGGTGAACAGTGGATTTTTCTACTTTTTAGAACTAGAGAGGTTTATGATTTTATGATGAGGTCTGTTTATTAATATTGGAGTAAATTGGATAATTTCTAGTAAACGTTTTTTTTTTAAAGTTTTTTAATACGAGATAAGAGTGGAAATTGAATATATTCAACGAAATGAATTAGTCACACAGCAGATGATTTTCATAAATGTTTGTCTCAGAATATATTATAAAAATATCATCATGCATTATGTACCGGGTCAGAAAGAGGGTTTTTTGTTGTTGTTGTTGTTGTTTTTTTTGCAAGTAAGTTTTTTTTTGTACTGTTTTTGTCTTACGAAATCCAATATAAATATTATGACTATTTAAAATAATTTCAAAGTAATTTATTAAAAAAATAATTCAAATATATATTTTTTATTATATTAATGATTATTAAGAAATATTTTCTAATTATATTAATATGATTTATTTAGAAAAATGTTTTATTTTCAATGTTGGTAATATATTTTACTATTTTTTATAAATTTTTATTAATTAATTATTTTAATATTTAGTTGCTTTTTAGATTTTTGTGAAAAAAAATATTTGAAACTTTTTACATACAAAATATATTTGAAATGTCTTCTTTTACTGATTTCTTGCATTTTAATATACTATAATACATATAATAAATATACTATATATAATTCTAAATTAAATTAATAAAAAATATTTATAAAATTATATCTATAATAAATTAAATAATATGTAAATTCATATATATATATATAGCACTTAGCATAAATGAGTACACCCCATTTTGAGAATGAATATTTTTATCCATTTCCCAGTCAACATAGGTATTGTATTTTGGTCCATTTAAACAAAACAGATTTATTAAACAGATATTTTTATTAAAATAATATTTTTGTTACCAAACATATTTAGAAATGTAAAGATTATACAATTAAATTCAAGCAAAATATTTTTTAAAAAATACAACCTTCAAGATTTCAACTAAATTTTTACAATTTTAAGCTTCTCTTAATTTTGACTCTTTTTAAAAAATTGTATTTAATATTTCTGTTTAACATAAATTTGGTTGTACTAGTATGTGGACCGTTATGGAAAGTTATTTTTGTTATTTGGAGTTATAAGCTCCAGATTTGGCTTCAGTACTGACTAATCTCATGTATATGCACAAATATAATATTGTATAGCTTCCTATCACTAATATGAATTTAAAATAGAGATTTGTGAGGGGTGTTCTGTGTATAGTTTTTTTATATTAATTTATTTGTTATGTAACTTATTTATCCCCGCTTACCTTTTAATTTGAGATACGAAAGAAAGTCAATGATGGTATGGACGACATCCTCATCTGCTATCCTCAGAGCTCCTTAAAAAAACATAAACAAACAACTCATTATCGTTTATTATTTCCATTTCAACATCTGTGCATCTGTACATTAACAATTAATGAATATTTCAATCCACTCCCAAAGCCTAAAACAGCATTATTAACAATGTCAGTAATGAGCCCCGCCGGCGCCACATGTGTCTTACCTGTCTTGAAATCCTCATCTAAAGGCATTTCTCTCTTTCCTGCCAGTCCGTGTTTGTCGCTGAGGCTCCTGTGACTATCAATGGCATCTGATCATAAAAGCACAACCACACACACACACAATCCCAATGATCATTTGAAGAGGCACTCCAATATTCACCAGCAGACCCTGCAGCCCCGCCGCTCATATTCATATTCATTTAGACCTCCCCGTGGCACACATATGGTGCTAATGCCACATTATGCCAGGAATGTCTGGTTTTGTTTTATTGGTTTGTTTTATTGTTGTTGTTTTTGTTTGGGACAGATTGAGTAGAGCAACCTGCAGGACTTGAGTCATGGAATTGCTTTTTTTTTGTTGCAATGCGAAGCACACACACGCTCACAGGCTTGTGAATAAGAAGTGCACATACTTGTATCAAATGCATGCTTTTAAAATACATTCCTCGCGGTTTGTTGAAACTACTTATTTAAAATAAGATGAAAAAACACGAATCTTGAGTTTTTTTAGGACAACTTAATTGTTTTATGTTCAATCCACTTAAATTTGTAAAAACAATTAAGTTAACTTAATCAGTTTGAGTTGGGACAACATGGAGGTATTGTGTGGAACAGCGTTCGCTGCTTTTTCAAACTACTTATTAAAAACGAGCTGAAACAACACTTTTATTGTCTTTTTTTGGGGACAGCTTAAATGTTTTATGTTCAATCCACTTAAATTTTTTAAAACGAATAAGTTAACGTAGTTAACGTTCCTTCATGTTGTGCCAACACAAATAGATTGTGTGGAACCCAGCATTTTTTACAGTGTAGTTCAATTTATCAAGGTATATAAACTGTAAAAAATGCAGGGTACGACACAATTCATTCATGTTGTCCCAACTCAAATCTATTAAGTTAACTTAACACTTTTAACAAATTTATGTGGATTGAACATAAAATATTAGGCTGTCTCAATGAAATCTCTAGAATTGTGTTGTTTTTTGAGTGTGTATATATATATATATATATATATATAATATTATATATATATATATGTGTGTGTGTGTGTGTGTGTGTGTGTGTGTGTGTGTGTGTGTGTGTGTGTGTGTATTTTTGAGTGTATATTTGAGTGTTTTTTTATCTACTTGGTCATTTTTAATTTTCTATTATATATATATATATATATATATATATATATATATATATATATTTCACACTTGGAGTTTGTATTTATGTAAAAATGTAAATATTTGTACTTCAAAACATCAAGGTTGATTCAATGCTACTCGCAGCTTCTTTGTAAAATTTTGCTGTTTTGAATTAAAGTTATTAATACAAATATTAATCATCATATATGTTAATAGGCTAGTCATGCTTTGCATTTTTACTGTATATTGTAAAATTGAACAGTTTTTATTTAATTGTAAGTTAATAAATAAAATACACATTATTGGCGTGATTGTTTTTTTTTTTTTACAAGAAAATATTATCTTAATATTTCTTATTTAAAGTTTTGCATTTAATCAAATCAGTCAATGGAAAATATTATAATTATGAAAATAAACATAAATTAGGTCCTAACCAACTGCACTTACCATAAATTAAATTATAATAATTTCACAATAAAATAATAAAGATAATAATAAAGATAATAAATAATTTTTCTAACAAATGATCAATAAAATAATAGCTCGCAGTTAAGCGTCCAAAAATTCAGTTCACATTTTATTTTGAAAAAAAAAAATGTTTAATTTGCTGATTTCGAACTTTTATTTAATTCTTTTTTTATTTTAGCGATTACTAAGTGAAAATTGTTTCTACACTGATTAATAAGTGATATTTAATAAATTGCAATGGCGTGTCCAAAACCACATTTAGATTACTTGCTATGTTAATTTTGGTTTCACGTTTATTTAAAATATATATTTTTAATTCTAGTAATTGCTAAGTGTAAATAGTTTCTATGCTATTTAATTCATTAATAACATGTAATTGAGTGTCCAAAAATATCATAAATTCAGTTCACAATTTACTTTGAGAAAGAAGGACTTTCCGATTGTTTTGCTAGTGTCAAATTTCACTTTTATTATTACATTTAATGCTAAGCGAAAATAGTTTCTACACCACTTTTTTTCTGAAATATATTCATTTAAAGTAATATATTTTACAAAAGTATTCTGAAGTGTGCTTCTTTTTCACAAGTGCATCCGATGCAAAACCCAACAAAGAAACACAAGCAGAAGCTCACAGCAAGTGAACAAGCAGATAGAATAGAAGATAGAAAAGCCAAATACTAGTTTAAGTCTACCTTAGTGCAGGTAAAACAACAGAAAACGGATATTCTGAAAGAAATATGTCAGTAGTACTAATTAATCAAACTAAAGATTACATAATAAGCCTGTGTTTAGAAAGTCCATGCATTTGCACACAGAATATGCATCTAAAGTATGCTTTAAATTAAAGCTCGATGCATCGATCTTTCTGGTTTTCTTTCCGAAAAGATCTGATTCATTCTGAATTGTAAGCTCCACTGGGAAAAAAGCACAAAGCGCGAAACGTCACAGAGCAATTCCTGGTCTGACTTCAACAACCTGCAGGAGCTTTCTTACATTGACCAAGCAGATCTTCTCGCCCCCTTGCACTGGGAGTATCCTTAATCTGTATAAGGTGATCAATACGACCTGAAACACAGGGAGCTTATATGTAACTGACCTACACAGGTGTACCTTCATGAGCTCAGCATCACTGACCCCAAAACAGTTCATCAACAGGCCTGCTCAGACAGCATGTGCAAACTACTAATGTCTATTTTTTTGTATGGTTTAACCAATATAATGCATTCAATCCATTTTGACCTATAATAGTTCAAAAATTTAATTTGTGGCTGTTATGGAGTTGGATTTGACCCTCCAAAGTTACATTTCTTACAATAATATTTTGTAAAGTGTTATACATTATGTTTTTTTAGGTCATTTTCAACCCAGGAATGCTTGGAGAACTTTAGGTGAAGAGATTCAAGATTACTTTTTGTAAATTTATCTATGAAGCTAAATTACTTTTGTTGTTTTTTTTTTCTTGTTTTTTTTTATAAATCAACCAATTTGGGAACAAAATTTTGTTATTTTGAAACATAATCGTTTAGCAAATTTCATTTATCTATATTTATTTAATTTATAATTTATCTATCTATATTATTAGATATATAAAATAGTTAATGTTTTGAGGAGTGATGAGTTAGCAATTTAATTAAATTCCTTTTATATAAAAGACAGAATAATACTGGTAATTCTCGGATTATGTGTTGTAATAAATTTCATAAAATTATACAATAAATAATTTCTTTGTGAATATTCAAAAATATACTTACATTTTGCATTAAAATTAGAAATTCTCAACTTGTTATTTGACAGAAATTATGTAAATAATAACAAGGTAATAACAAGGATGAAATCATCAATGACATCAGATTAAATATAGTTTAGTAGTTCTAGCTATTAAAAAATCTTGGGGTCCAATAATATTGATTTTTCTATGCATTATAAGAGTTAAAATGTAGACCTGAGAGCAGCATGATTTGTTAATAAACAGCTATTGGGAAAGACAGAGAGAAAGAGGGATTATAAGAGAGGACAGACAGATGGACAAAGCGGACTCACGAGGACCGAGGAGGTAACCAGCACTGTTCAGGGTCCATCCTCTCTTCTCTTTTGCCTGTTTTACACAAAATGTATTCACATATAAAATATATATATATACATATATATATATATATATATATATATATATATATATATATATATATATATATATAAACAAGATACAAAAACATACAGCTTAATCATAAATTTTTTTTTACTATTTTTATTCAGACTATATATATACATACACAGTTGAAGTCATAATTATTACCCCTCCTCCTTGAATTATTAGCCCCCGTTTACTTTTTTCCCCAATTTCTGTTTAACGGAGAGATTTTTTCAACACATTTCTAAACATATTAGTTTTAATAACTTATTTCAAATAACTGATTTATTTTATCTTTGCCATGAGGACAGTACATAATATTTTACTAGATATTTTTCAAGACATTTCTATATAGCTTAAAGTGACATTTAAAGGCTTAACTAGGTTAATCAGGTTAACTAGGCAGGATAGGGTATTAGGCAAGTTATTGTATATCAATGGTTTGTTCTGTAGACTATCGAATAATATTTATAGCTTGAAGGGGCTAATAATTTTGACCTTAAAATGTTTTTTTTTTATTAAAAACTGCTTTTATTCTAGCCTAAACAAATCAAATAAGACTTTATTCTAGAGAATCAGACATACTGTGAAAATTGTCTTGCTCTGTTAAATATCATTTGGGAAATAATTTAAAAAGAGGCTAAATAATTCTGACTTTAACTGTATATAACAAATGTCTCTTTTAAATTCATGTTTTTAATAGGAAGCCAATTTATATTTGTGCACATTATGTTAGTCAGTACTAAAGCCAAATATGGAGCTTATCTAACAAAATAACTTACAATAATGGTCCAAAAACTAGTACAGCCAAATGTATATGTTATATAAAAATATTAAATACAAATTTAAAAAAGAGGAAATATCAAGAGAAGCAAAATAATAATAATAATAATTAGTTGGTGACTAAAATATAATTTAAATAAATCTATCTGTTTAATAAATCTGTTTTGATCATGCACCAAAATGCATCGCCTATATTCACTAAGAAATGGATAAAATATTCCTTTTCAAAATGGGGTGTACTCAATTATGTTATAATCTATATAATTGTATTTTAGTAATTAAATAGTAGAGTGTAAATAAGTGTTTCATATGTCTGGTTGGAAGATGTCACATTTAAAATGCATTATCATACTTTATATATTTATATTTATTTATTTGACTATTTATGCTGTTTAATTATTTTGATAAGCTGAGTTAGAAGGTCTTAATTAAATGGCAAAAAATAATACAGATTACATTGAGATTACATAATAAGAATTTGTATCAAAACTACACAATTTAATCTTAATATAAAATTATTTATAACTATATTAAAATAAAAAATAAAAAAATATTTTACCTAATGTAAAAATACACTTTTTAACAGTGATTTTTAGTATTTTATTGTCAGGTTGGGGCAACAAATTTTAGCTGTATTAATTGTAGACAGATAAATTATAATAATAAATAGTAAATATTTTGTTGTATGACTATTTTTGTTACATTATTAATAGTTTTACCGTCATATTTAATACTAACATTTTCATTAAATACACATTTAATGAATGTCTCTCAAATTACCCCATATTCCACACAGCATTTATTTTATTAATAATATTAGTAGTTCTAACATAACAGTGCAAATGTTGCTCTTTTGAATATTATTATAACTTTTTATTAGCTTAAAGGTTACACGTTTAAACAATTAAAAATAATTTTAAAAGCCACCTTGAATTAAATACACTCGAGTAAATAGTGAAAACTAAAGTTGTTTCACAGATTTTAAAGACGTGGCTGCAGGTTTCAACTTTCAAGTCAAATTTGCATTAAAACATTAGACTGTTAAAAATCAAAATAAAGAATCTTTGAATCAAAAGAGGTCTTACCGCGATCACCATCCCGAGTGTTTCTGTCAGAAACGCGCACACAATGAGAGACACACAAACTCCACCGACACACCTGTGCATCTGAAACAACACCAATGAAGCGTTATAAACAACGTGTTCTCATTAAACCTCACAGAATATAACCAGAGACCCGGACTGAGAATTTACCCTGAGTATCAGTTGGTCTTTGGAGAGTGAAAACACTGGTAATATTCCCGCCTCTTCTGCTGCTGGTCCTCTGATGCTCCTGTGGATTCGGGCGCCTTTTATTGAAAGGCAACCTCTAACCTCTGACGTCTTTACGTCAAAAGGTGACACCGGCAGGCTCTTCGTCACCGAGCAGAGCACATTTTTTGTTTATGTCCATGAGATCAGTTGATTATGGTCGCATTGATTATTGTGTAGTCACATCCAGGTTTATGTGGCACTCAACGATCCATTCAAGGACAAGGTATTATGGATTTTGCCTTTTTCTTCCAGTTTGACTTTTCCCAGCCCAGCACAAGCGACTCATATTTAACAGTCAACTAAATATTTTGTATGATATAATATAATAAATATAATATAATAAATTATGTAACATTTGTTAACATTGTCATTCCATAATTGTTTCACTTTGTTTAAATTCACTGTATTATTGATATATAATCTCTCACACCCACACAAACACACACACACATATATAAAATAATTTTCAAAACTGTGATTAACTTGAACAAAACATGTTAAAACAGCAGTTATAAAAAGTAGTACATGCACCACAATTAATATGTTAGGGGAAAACATCGTCAAATTTTAATAAAGAGGAAAAATCAAGAGAAAAGAAGAAAAATATTACATTTATTACATAATTATTAAAATATTACACTTAACTTAAATTTTGTAATTTTCTAGTTTTTTATTTTATTTTACTTTTTATTTTTGCAACATCTCACTTGAATTTAAGTGCATTATCTTTCTATTCCAAAGATGTTTGACGGTGACCATAATTTTATTTTAATGAATGTAACTAAAATAAAATAAATACACATTATATTGTTATAGGGGCTGTGCTCATTTATGCATTCATGCTGTGCAATACATATATATATATATATATATATATATATATATATATATATATATATATATATATATATATATATATATATATATATTTAGTGCACCCCCCCTGTTTATTTTTTCCCCAATCTCTGTTTAACAGAGAAAATTTTTTCAACACATCTCTAAACATAATAGTTTTAATATCTAATCTCTACTAACTGACTTATTTTATCTTTGCCATGATGACAGTAAATAATATTTTACTGAATATTTTTCAAGACCCTTCTACACAGCTTAAAGTGATATTTAAAGGCTTAACTAGGTTAATTAGGTTAACCTGGCAGGATAGGGTATTTAGGCAAGTTATTGCTAGGGCCAGACAGAATCTGCAGACGTTTTTTGCTATTTCTGCTCAGAATTTTGTAAAAAAAATTGTGGATTTATGCAAAATGATTTTGAAAGTATTAAAACCCAAAATTTAATATATGAAATAAAAAATAATACAGCAAAACGGTGGCACAGTGGGTAGCACGTTCGCCTCACAGCAAGAAGGTCGCTTGTTCGAGCCTTGGCTGGGTCAGTTGGCGATCCTGTGTGGAGTTTGCATGTTCTCCTCATGTTCCCGTGGGTTTCCTCCGGGTGCTCCGGTTTCCCCCACAGTCCAAAGACATGTGTTTTAGGTGAATTGGGTAGGCTAAAGTGTCTGTAGTGTATGTGTGTGAACGAGTGTCTATGGGTGTTTCCCATTAATGGGTTGTGGCTGGAAGGGCATCTGCTGCGTAAATCATGTGCTTGATAAGTTGGCAGACCATTTCGCTGTGGCGACCCCTGATTAATAAAGGGACTAATCTGAAAAGAAAATGAATGAATGAATAAATGAATGAATGAATGAATGAATGAAAAAATAATACCTTTTTAACTTTTGTTAAATGCTTATACTGCAAATCCAATTAGATACACCTAATTGGTAAACAAAGCAAATCTCTTATATAATATATCTACTAAAACACATAAAATATTACATTACAAACTGTATTGCAAAAACATTTTCATTTTTGTCAATAATATTACAGAAATTAATTTTAAAACTAAATAAAAACAAATTTACACACATTTACACAAGTGAACAAAAAGACTCAATGATGGGATAAAAATCTCTAGAAATCTGCAAATTTCTGCATGCGCAGATTCCGTGTGGGCCTTTATTGTATAACGATGATTTGTTCTGTAGATTATTAAAAAAATATGTAGCTTAAAGGGGCTAATAATTTTGACCTTAACATGTTTTTTTTATTATTATTAAAAACTGCTTGTATTCTAGCCGAAATAAAACAAATAAGATTTTCTCCAGAAGAAAAAAAAATCTAATTTACTGTGAAAATTTCCTTGCTCTTTTGGAAAATATAAAAAATTAATTAATTAAAAATCAAAGGGGAGCAAATAATTCTGACTTCAACTGTATATTTTACTGAAATGCATTCATTTAAAAAATTGAGAATTGTTTTCCAGTGTTCAAGTAGTTTTCATATCTCTCTCTCTCTCTCTCTCTCTCTCTCTCTCTATATATATATATATATATATATATATATATATATATATATATATATATTAGGGCTGCTCGGTTTTGGTATCACGATTATCATGATTATTCAAAACCCTTATCAGTTGAAGTCAAAATTATTAGCACTCCTGAAAATTTTTTAAAAATAAATAATTTCCAAATGATGTTTAACAAAGCAAGGAATTTTACCAGTATTTCCGCTAATATTTTATCTTCTGGAGAAAGGCTTATTTGTTTTATTTTGGCTAGAATAAAAGCAGGTTTAAATATTTTGAAACCAATTTTAAGGTCAATATTATTAGCCCCGTTAAGCAAAATATTTTTTGATTGTCTGCAGAAGAAACTACTGTTATACAATGAACTGCCTAATTACCCTAATTAAGCCTTTGAATCGCACTTTAAATTTGAATGCTTGTATTTTGAAAAATATCTAGTAAAATATTATGTACTGTCATCATAGAAGAGATAAAATAAATCCGTTATTAGAAATGAGTTATTAAAACTATTATGTTCAGAAATCTTCTTTTCATTAAACAGAAATTGGGAAGGAAAAAGGGTTGCTAATATTCAGGAGGGCTAATAATTCTGACGTCAACTGCATATGTTATTTTCCACCCTGCAAAGGAAAGAGAATTAAATACAATAGAATAAAAATATGAAACAAACTGTGCTTTAAGCATCTTCACTGTCAGAAAAACACTAGCTACAAAAGCCCAGAGCAGTGAGGGATTTTCAAGTTTTGTTTGATTAATGATAAACACAGGCGGCAGCAGGAATTGCACGCTGTCACTTTAATGATTTCTTTTTCACGTGTCTTTTGATTCTCAACTCGTTTGTTTATTACACAAATGAGGGTTAATATGAATAATCACTAAACACCACAATTTGACACCTATTTGACCATTAAAGCGTTCACATTAAGATGAGATGTGTGCGCTCTGATCAGTGTGTGAATGAGACCGAATGCTGAACGCATGCTTCTGACTGCGTGTGCACGCCGCGCACACACACAGAAGCATGCTGTCTTTCACGCTTTAAAGAGCAACACATGTACAACTGGAAAAGGGCGGTATATGATGCAATAATCGTTTATCTCGATTAATAATTTTTCATAATCGTTAAAAATGCTACACGCCACTGTGGATGTCAAATCGTTGTCTTTCTAAAAAGTCAGTTAAAAACAAAGACAGTGTAAACAGGGCCTGAGTGTGTACTTTTCGCGAGCGGATTTGCAACGGGGGTGGGCGGAGGATCGCGATGCTGGTGTTGTCTATCGGACGAACCCTAATACATACATAGCAGAGCTTGCAAAACTGTGTTTTTTTTTGTCGACAACACGAACGTTGTCAACATAACTCACTGGAAATCCAAAATGCTTACACACCGGCAACTTCATTGAAAGAGGAGAGGGTTTAAGTTCTGTCGACGGGTCTCCTGCTTCTGCAGTTTAACAAGCACTTCAACAAGCATGTTTTTTTCCCGCTTGGCAAGCCAAGCTAACGTGACATGGGGGTGTGGCAGCATCGACGATTCTATTTTTTAATTCGATAATCGAAATTGAGCATAAATTTTTCGATTTTTAATCGAAATCGTGACACCCCTAATATATATATATATATATATATAATATACACACACACACACATATATATATATATATATATATATACATACATACACACACACACACACACACACACACACACACATATATATATATATATATATATATATATATATCCTTTAACAAACAGCTGTTTCTTCTTTTTTTTTTTTGCTACTTATAACCTCATCTAGCAGAGGTGAAGAGGTTAATGCCGTTGGTAATTGCAAAAACCTTTGCGCCTTCTCCAGTCACGTATTTCAAGACCATCCTTTGTTTTTATGGATCCATGCTTATTGACATTTTACCAAATTCCAAAAAAAAAATCAGAAGACAATAAACACTTTTTCAAACCACATTTTGTCATGCTTTATTGTGTTCTGAATGCAAACTGTGTTCATATGTTCATACGGGCGGATTGTGCCTTTTAACACAGCACAGTTTTACAAAGTCACTCAAGCAATACTGATTGGTGACCATGAAAAAAACAATTACTCCAAAAATGAAGAAGAAGATGAGAAGAATCCCGATGGCTCTTCTCAAAAGGCTTTGCTGATGGAAAGCACTCTCAGATTGCTTATTGTCAGTTTCTGTGCGTTTGATTGGAGTCTGCGTGACAGTGTCATTCATCTGCTTCTCAGTTCCCCCAGAGCCGTGTTGTTGAGTGTTTTCTTCCTGATGATGTCCCTCACAGATTGGATGGACGATGGAAGCTATTGGTGACGAAGTCCTTGAAGAGATGGAGCAGAGTGCAAACTATTCATTGTCTTTCTTTGAATCAAATCAGATAATATAAGTGTGTATGTCATTTACAGGCAGTTCAGCTTTACAGTATGTTTCCTGAAGAACAAGAAGCTTACCTGTAGTCATCCGCAAGGTTTAAATCTGGTTTTGGTGTCCCATGCATACTAATGAGTAATCTGAAAACAGCTCGAGAGTGAGCGGATTTCTCCAGCTTTACCACTTTCATGGTAGAAGATGTTTCAAAGACCTATGATACAAACATTTCAATATCATTCCATTTCTTGCTCAGTTTCACAGGAGTTCAGAAAGTCCTAAATTTAATAACGACAACATCTCTGTACTTTCTCAGTAGCTTAGTCTTTTCCAATGCAATTATCTAAACCGAGATAAATGGGATGCAAAATAACAATATGAAGTCTTGTTTCTTAAAAGTACGACAAAATTATGGGTAGGGTTAAAACAAGAAGAATTTAATATTAATAACGTTATACTGTATAGGCCTATCCTCCCTTGAACAGATGCTGAAAATTAGCAAGTCTGCTATGACAATTATACAAATGCATATGGATTTTTTTTCTAGCATAAATGTGATGTTAATGCCAAATAAATAAACAGATTAACATTTTAAAACTAGTTTTGCCTTATTTTCTGAACCCATTGGCAGATATTTGTTGTTTTCCCACCACAAACGTACTTAATTATCATAAATTTCACAGCAAACAAAACAGTTTGCTTCTCAAATGTATGTTAACTTGTGTATATCTCTATTTGCACTACAATTCAAACCTTAGGCTTTTTAGATTTGTTTGTTCTACAACTTTAAAATGTTGCTAATACAACTCACTGTACTTATTACTGATGTTATTTCTTTTCCCTTCATTTTATTCCTTAAACGTCCTTAAACTCTCTAGCCTTAAAGAGCTCAAAGAGTCTTGAGTTTTTCTTAATAAACTAGGAGAAACGTGGTTTCAGTAACTTTAGGATTTAGACCATTTTTAAAAAAATGTTATGAGCTAAACAACGATTAATCTGAACATTTTCAAAATGTGCCACATTGTTCAGTTTAAATAATTAACGTTAGCTTAAGTCAGTAATGTTAGCTTAAGGAAATGTTTGTGATTTTTGAGATATGTAAATAATAAACTGGTATATAACTAAAATGTTTGTCAGAATCAATCAACATTCAGTTAAGGGCCATAGCCAGCCTGGAGAAAGAGGTGATATTTTAAGCACAATTTTTAGCTGGATTAGCTTGTCAGATGGTCATTATAACCACACTTTTTGATGTACCAAAATTATTTCCAGAAGATTTAGAATAAAAAAAATATAAAAATACTTATTTTTTAAATTAAAAACTGTGGCCCATTGTCCTTTATTAGGCAAATAACAAACTGACCAGCACATTCGACTTTATTCATTTTGAATTTAAAAAATTATGAAAACATAATAATAATAATAATAATAATAATAATAATAATAATAATAATGAAGAGCGATTTTTCTATGCTCTCTCATTAAAAAAAGCACATTTGAAAATTCATGGATAACAACAATAGCCAAAGTAGTATTTAAATTAAATTTAACATGGTCTGCTTTTTGTGCTTCATGGTCATTTTTTGTTTCAAGAATAAGGTCCAAATTCTTGAATAATAGTCACTTGTAAAATGTTTTCTTTATTTAAAAACAATACAGCAGCGAAAGTCAGATTGTAAAATTAAAATATTTGTTAGCATTGGTCAAAAGTGATTAGCTGAAGTTCCGCCGAAGTGACAGCAAACAGAGGATTCCACTTGGTCCTAAAGCCTTTTTCCATGAGTGATTTTAACTATGATAACATAGCTGTCAAAATAGTACCAATGAGCTCATGTATATGAGACAGATTCTGGGCTTTTTCAGGGAGGGGTGGGTCTTCCGAACCACCCGACTACCCTGGCTACAGGCCTGCAGCAGTTCAAAATGAAAGCGCCGGAGTATTGTGCTGTTCCAAAGGTTACCTGAGCTGACGAACAGGGTTTTAATCTTCACCAAAACAATAACTAAATCAAGCAACTAACCTCTTCATTCAGTTCCGGCTGCGGTTGCATTTCTGTTATCCGTGTTACTGCTAATGGACAAACACGAATCACCAGTTTCAACAACAGAAGTTGAAAAGATTACTGTTGCTATGGTTACAACGCGACGTTCGCTGTCAAACATATTCTCCGTACATAAACATAAACAAACGCGCGACCTTTGAGGTAACTAATATGGCGTTTGATGATTTTGTTGACAGGAACTCTCAAGCAAAACTTAAAGGCATATTTTTAGTTACCCAAGTTTGGTCTAATACGCTCTGGGATACTTACATCTACTATTAGTCAAAGTATGCGTGTCGAGTACTGAAAAGCGAAGCAAAATCTTCGCCCCCTTGTGACTGGCTATGGAAACGGTTTCTGTCACTCAGGTATGTTCAAACGTCTGTTAGTCCAAAAAGTTGCTGCATCCAGATGAGATATAAAAAACCCGCCATGTTCACTCATGATTGTGTTGAAGCTTGGCCAGGATTTAGGCATCTTTTTTTTTAGGCACCTTTTTTACACACGAAAGAATGTAAGAAGAAATTGCTCTAAGAATGTTAAGTTTTAGTTTCTAGAACTTTCTTTTAATGTTTATTTTTGAGAACGTTTTCATAGCTGAAATACGAATCTTTTCATAGCTGAATTACAATGTTATTAGTGTTTGGTTTGCAGAGCATTGTAAGTATAACGTAGAATGAACCCATTGATCTATCAGAAACCTACATTATCTGTCCCTGAAATAAAAACATAAATACAGTGAATTAAATGGTATTTCATTCCAAAAATTTCCCAAATGAACTGTTCTGTAAAGAAATATGTCAATCATTTGTTTCTCAGATTTCAGTTTGTTATAAAACACTTTACAAATTTACAAACACTGTCATTGTCCTGGTCCTCAGCCTAATTGAACCTAAAACTTACAGTAAATAGAGTTGTAATGCTAAATACTGCTATTTAGGAAAAAAACGTAAAAAAAAATGTCAAGTTTATGTTGTTATCCTTCACATCAATTGATAAAAAAATATAAAAAATTATAAATAAATTCTACACATAAACACAAATATATGATACAAATAAATTTACAATTGTCCCCATGTTTCGGTCAGTCCTGTCACATCTGCATAAAGTTTAACATAAAATGCATGGGATGCACCTTTGAGGCAGTGACATCATTTGGAGAAGCTGACAGTGATGAAGGAGCCGTTCTATCATTGAATTGTATGATTTTATGCTTGCTTTTGTATTATTTTTTTTGAGGATGACAAGCTTAAAAGTCAGGCCCTGTCACAATTTAGGAGTGAAAATGTACGTTTCTGGTAGAATCTCCCCTATATCATTTGTAATATTTTTAGATATTACTTTGAATTTATTTTATAATTCTTACATGTATCCTCTATTTTCTTTGTTTTAACATATTGAACATCGTATCTAATAAATTTAGTCAAATTCAATTGCAAACAAAACAGTTTATTTGATCATTAAAAGACTCAATAAAAACAGAAATTAATATTATTGAAATAAATTGTACTTTTTAAATTAACTAAACAAATACGTAATTAGGTTTTAAAAATGTAACAATAAATAAATTTTAATGCCATACATCCTGATTTAAGTTAACGTTACCAAGTAGGTCTGCAAAAGGAGTTATTACTATAAACAAAAAAGCTTTAGTGCTTAGCTCCTCAGGCCTCTTGTAACATGAATGACGTATTAATTTCAGACTCATTTGTTCTCCAAGAAATGAGAATATTGACTTTTAATGGGTGCATTAAATAAGTGTTAGCATTTCACAGAAATTAATTACAGTCACGCGTCTCTTTGTCCCTCAGGTCTATTATGAGATCACATCAAAGAAAACTGGGATTGGACTCATTATGACGCATGATGAACTGATAACCACAACTGACTCATACTTATTATAGTTATGTATCCGATCTTCGGTGGACATTCTGTTTATTTTCTGAATCTCTGAGGCTCCCTGTAATCAACATTAGTGTTTAAATCATGTTCAGCAGTTACAAATTCACTATTCTCGACACATATATTAGTTGATTTTATGTGTGTTTAGACGTGTCTCTAGGGAGACCAACCTAGTGGGTATCATAAACCCTTTTTATTTTTGTAAAATAAGTTTATTTTAGAGTCTATTAACTTCCTCTTTTTGCATCATTTAACATTATTGTCACTTTTGATGGGTATCTTGTTTCCAGCTGTCTGTTTCTCACCTCTGCTGAGCATATATGCTTGCCGTATTTCCGATGGAAACAAAGATACAAAGAGCAACTCTTGTTGTGTTTAGCTAGAGGGATGAAACTAGCGCAAGGCAAGGTAATAGAGCCTAAAGTGCCAACAGAAAAGTGGTTTTAGACTGCATGAAACAAGTTAATAATTAGTCTTTTACATTTTTTATTTTATATTTAAACAGTGTCTATTTTCACCCTCAAATGCAAGGCCTCATGCTGTGTTAAGATTGCAGTTTTGTTAGCAAATCCAAAAACAAGTCTGAAGTCCAAAGGATGAGGTGTCATACTCAAAACTAATATGCCATTGGCCAAGCCACCAAAATTGCTACTATCGTTCATTTTAATTAATTTAGTATCATCAACATTAATATGGTAATGTCGTTTTCTATATGATTGCAAAAAAAAAAAAAAAAAAAAACTAAAGAAATAAAAACTAAATCCAAAAATAAACAAATATTGGTTATGTAAAATGTACAGCCTAAAGAATTACATTTAACATGCTCCATAAATATAGGCAGGTCATTGATTTAAAAAAAGAGTTATGAAAAGTTAATATTTATATTATACATGCTCCAAATATACACCGAAAAATGTCAGTGATGCTCTTTAACCCTCTACTGCACGGTGTCACCATATGGCAACATGATACTTATGTTAATTTCCTTGTTTCTTAAAGACCAACATATTTTTTTGTTGTTGGAAAGAGAAGACCTTAGTGGAGCCAATGATGTGCTGTGTTTTTCTGGTGCGTGATTTGTGACAGACTGGCGTTTATTGTGAGTAGTTGCTGAATGCAAATGTAAAAATCAATAAAAACAAAGGATCAAATTATGTCAGATCCACAAAAAAATCTGAAACATCACGTCTGGTAAGTTATGATGACATATTCACAGTTCAAAAATGTTTTTAGCAAGTTAGCTTCTTGCAAACGGATCAAATGTGTGTGTTACCAAATGGCAACACTGTCCTAGTGGAATGTGCAATATTGCGATGGGTTAGCTTGCTAGCAAGGTCAGCTGTGAACTTTTAAGTTTTAACAGTAACAACATGAAAGCTAGTAATATAATGTTGATAAGTCATGTGTTAATGGCATTTGCAATATGGCAATACTACTTTTCAATACATATCAATACAGAGAACTGTGTATTAGCGAGCACCACCATGTTCTATGGTAAGTGAAACAAGAAAAGGACGAAACTGGCTCTTCCTGCAGATGAAAGTGAGGATGAGATGGGTTTTAGTGACCATGAGAATGATGCTGACTGGACAATTTAATAGAGAAAGTTCAGGTAAGTTAGCTCAGAGGCGGATAAGACAGGTGTAGAATAAGATTTAGTATAATATATATAAACATTGTTAGCTAGTAGCTACATTGTTCGGAAGCATCTGGATATACTAGACTTGATATTTATTTGTTATAATATTTACTGGAGGAAATATTTATATTTACTGTATGTTATATACTGTACATGATAATACAATACGTTTGTTTTTAATAATATTCAGAATGGAATGAATGAAAGCTGTTGGAATATGAGTTGTTGGAAAGAATGTATTAGGTGTCATTAACAAGATCCGTGTTAAAGCTCATAACGCTGCAACACCAATTAAATCATTTTAAACAACAAAATGATTAATTATGAGGAAAGTTTTAAATTTGAAATTTCTAAGTTAGATCCGCTGTTGGACGTTGTTGCCATATGGCAACATTTCATACACTACCTTAAAATAAACATTTTTCCTATTTTTTACAGCACTTCAAGTTAAGCCATTTAAAGAAAAGAAAAACAGTCAAATATATTTTCAATAGATTTATCATATTCATGCGGTAGAAGATAAATTTAAATAACAAAAGTGTGTTAACATTACATTCGATTAATGTGAGCCTAACTTCAAAACTAATGCAGGAATGTTTAGGAGCATTAAAGGTGTGTACTTAAAGGGGACAAAATATAATAATGTAATAAAATATAGTAAACATATGTCTCATCTTTCAGCTCAAAACATTTAATTAGAGTACTAACAGATCATTTATTATTATGAACATGTTCTAGTTGCAACCCAGGCCCACTGGAAATATGTGCCCAGAGCTACATTTTTGAGACCTGAGAAGTATGTATCATGGGCTACTTTGTCTCTAGTTTTTGCTTTCATAAATCCACAGGGCACTGTGTACATTTTTAGCAATCTCAAATAGAGTCTTGGGGGCCTCAACCCAAAATTGTAAGGCAACTTGCTGCAGAGCTTTTTTGAGTTGACTTAAATTTCAACCCAAGTACTGCACTTGACTTGATTTATGCTGAGTTCTGACTGCATGATTTTCAAAGTAGTCATGTCACAGAGGTTTTCCCACTGCATGACTATCTTGGGTAGCGTTCTGTTGCTGCTGTGTTTACACTGTAGGATAGATCGGTGGCAGGGGGTTTCACACTGCATGACTTTACAATAGGAAGAATCGCCGACAGCTTTGTCTCGGTCCACAGCCAAACACAAAGTGGCATGGAAACAGCACAAGGTCACATAATATATATTTTATTATTAACTACATAATGAGAAAGGGGCCTTAAGTGGGGTAGAAAAATTACTTATTTTGCTTAGCCCCATGACATATAATGTCTCTGAGACCACCTGTAGTCCCATTTAGCAACTTGACAGCAACCGTCAATTTAAAGAAGCATAACCGATTTAAAAAAATCAAGAGTGTGATGTAACTGATGATGTGTTAAATGTCGTAGAATAAAACGTGAAAGTATCTTGAGTTTGTGTCAGCCATGAACTTCATTTAAGTGATTTAACTGACATCCCATTGAAAAAACTCATTGACTTTGGGACGAGGGAACCGGAACTGCTAAAATGCTAACTCGCTTCCGGGTTTTTGCATACAAATTGACGTCATAGTTTCTCCACTCGATAGACCAAAAGAAGCCCTTAACTTCTCCCCCACCCTCCCGCTGGCCTGTTGATACCCGCACTAGTGGATGCTGCTCTCTTATTGGCTGTAGGTAATCACCGATGTTATTTTCAATCAAAACACATTTCACATGTCATGATCTGAATCACAGACAGCTCCAGATATTTATCGACTCATCTGCATTTCTCACAGATGGCATCTTTGATAGTTCACTCCTTGTGATTGTTAATCACGTGAACGAGCACTGTTTTGTCTGTGAATTCATCCATTTTATCAAAACCTGTCGGCAAGTCAAAATTGGGGCTAAAATCATGCAGTCTGAACTCAACATTAAGTCCCAATCCCAATTCTATTGTTGTACCACTACCCCTTCCCCTTGGCCCTTACAACTAAGTGTAAAGAGGAAGGGCTTCAACATGTACCCCTAAGAATTGGGGCAGCACTGCAGCACCTGCACACGTATGTCATCGCGATCTCTTGCTTCATATAAGATGTGACGATCGCGACTGCTGTAGTTATTCCAGTTGTGCAATTTATTGGTATTTGCCTTCAAAACATCACTGAAGGCATAAATTATGTTATCGTAACGATCTAATGTGGCAATAAGATCGTAATACTGTGCATTTAACACAGTGGCCATATTCATCAATGTAAACACCAAAACAACAATAACATTATAGTAGACACTGTAAAAAGATAATTCCCAGCCACTAGACATTACTGACAGGGTATTCGAGTGTCATCAAGTGTCAGAATGTTATTGGATGCACAGGAGTTATAATTATGTATTATAGATTGCAAAATTTAGCGGTTTTTATTTTAGCGTTTTTTTTTTTTTTAAGTATGACGGTAAAACACGAAGCAGTTAAAATTAGTTTGTTGTTTAAATTAATAATAGTGATAAAAAATACTAATTTGTGGATCTCCTTACGTCCAGGTACAGTGATTCTGCCGTTGTGGCTTGTGTATTCTGGGAAATTTTCTTACCCCTTGGTTTCCAGTGTGGTTCTGAAAAAACTTATTTCGAAGGGGTATTCACCCCTTCCCCTTAGCCCTACGCCTTTAAGCTGAAGAGAATTGAGACAGCCCTACACCTTGGCGTGAAAGCGCTAAACGAGGGGGAGGGGAAAGGCTAATGCCTAGTTCACACTAAAGGATTTTAAGCCTGATTTGAGCCCGATTTGGAAGTTAACGAGCTCGCCGACAGATCGGGCTGTGATCGGGAAGAAATCTGCGGGTGCTCGGCGCTCGCCGCTCTTTATGTGTGAACTACTGAACAACGCATCAACGAGGCTCGCTGACGCGTCGCCGACACCTCGCAGACGGAAATCCAACATTCAGCATGCTAAATATTCCAGAGCAGTCGGCCGACTCAACCCCACGTGTGGTCAGATGTAGTGACGAGCTGCAGCCAATGAGAGAGCATATCAGCATGAGCCGCGTGCCTGTGTGTTCAGGAGCTCAGCAGAAACATCTGTGATTGGTCAGAATGGGCATCGCTGCACTCGCTTCATTCTGCGTTAGCACAGACATGAGAGGAGGATATATTAACAGTGGAACTAGAATTCTGTAACTATTAGAATTACCATATTGCTCATTCTGACGGTTCTTATATAAAATGCCATACTGTCACAACATATTTACATTCAAAGCTATTATTGAGATATTAAAATTAAGCTTTGAATGTCTGGCATCATATTTAATGACACCATTACCCTAAAAATATAATCTTTTTTTGTAACACAGCCTATAAATATGTAGTTAAGATACTAAAACACTTAAAGGTCTTGGCTTTCATTTTCACTTTCAAACAGGAGCTATTTCACAGCACATAATATGCTGTTTTGAAAGATATCTAAAGTAAATTGATGTTTTTGCCATCAGAAAGTTTTGTTTATGTTAGCAGAAAATTGCTAGGCAAGAAAATGCACACATATTTAAAGTCACAGTGAAAAGTATTAGACATGCATGCAGTCATTTTAACCAATATGGTAATTTAAGGCAGAAATGCTCAGTTCTTTACTGTTTTGTAATAAAAAAAATAACAATGTCAGAAAGAAATACACTAATAGTTAGAAAACGCCAGGGTGTTATAAATATGTTAGTTTTATTTCAAAGAGTTATAAAATTAGAAAAATTAAAAACTCTCTGTGTATCTATCCACTCGAACCTTGCAGATGAGTGAATAATGCGCTGATAAATCAGCTGATATGACGATGTTTTTAAATGCTTTCTCCAAAGCTTGAAACTCTGTCAGTGATGTAATCCGCACACAAGCAGCCAATAGTGTTCAGCTTTTTCTGACGACTCCTCCCTCAAAATTTTATTGGCTGTGGTTTGGTAGCTTGAATGAACTGATGGGGAATGAGTTGTTGTCAGATCATGTAGTGTGTGACCCCCCTCTTGTGGATCGTTCATGGAGTGTTGCGTAGTGTGAACACCACAGAGATTAAAAGACACAAAGTCAGGTCATGTAGTGTGAACGGCACAGCGATCTGCTGATGTTTAAAATCCTGTAGTGTGAACTAGGCTTAAGGGGTAGAACTGAGATTGGACCTAAGTTGAGTCAACACAAAAAAAAACTCTGTAGCAAGTTGAGTCAAATTTTTGGGGTAGGGGGTAGTTTTTCCTTGTTTCTGAAACTGTCCTTCGTCTGACTTAATCCCTGTTCTGCCTCCCAAGTCTGTTGCTGTTCGCAGTGAGCCATCAAGCAAACCAGTCACACCAAAAAAGCTGTCCATACTGAGGTAAACGGTGAGTGGTACCACCCCATAGCATTTGTTTTACTCAAAAACTGCCGCCATATGATGCCCCAAAGAATTCTTGATTGAGAGAAATGTATCCTTGGGCACATTTTCCCATTGAGCTTGTGCTGTGTAGATGACTATTTTTGAAAAGCAAAAACAGGCTGTTTTTGTATGCATATCTTTAAACACAAATGAGTTGCCGCTCCCCTACCCACTTTTCATATTAAGGGTAAAGCCTTAGCAGTTGTGTGTGACTGAGATGCTGTTTACGTTTGTACATTTTCGGTTTTGTTACAGTTACGGCTGGAAACTGCACTACTCTGCATCTTCTACCCATTTTGAAAATGTAAAGATCCTGTATTAAATTGAAAACACAAGTGAACTATTTTATTGTATATGGACTGAAATATAAATTTTTGAAAACAGAGGCGTGGCTATCCACCATTAATCTCTTGATCACCAATAAACTCTTCCCATATGACTAGTACACAACTAGTACAAAAATTAACATCCCCAATGAGCATGAATGTGTTTTTTGCTATAGTGTAGATTGATTTTCTAAGTCTCAAAAATTACGCCAGTCTGGACATTCTAGAACGCCATTTTAAAACCAAAACCAACTGTAGTATAAAAGGCATCTAATACTCTCAGGACCAAAAATGTGTTTTGGTTTTATTGTCTGTTACACTCACATATTACTTCAGTTCTTCCTCATCATCAAAGTTTATCATCTGCATGTGTTTTACAGCCCTGTCAAGTTGACTTACAATATACTGTGAAGAAAGAGAGTAAAATAAAGCCCCCAGACATCTCAGGTGAGCATTAAACCTCTTTATCATCTAATTGTGCTTAAATGTAAAAGAGAATTTTGTATAGCAGGTCTCTTCTGATAATAACATACATTTAATTAAAAACATGAAAAGCATGCGGTGATGCTGCTCTTGGCCTTTAGCATACAGACAAATAATTTAGACGTTAATTTGCACCCAATTGATCTGATTCCAATTCGGTTAGGTTGGTTTGATTAGGTTATACTGTACACAAGGTCAAGAAAAGACTCTCGTATGAAACGTAATATAATCAGGGGTATAATTTGGTAAGCAGTGAGATATGGCAGTTTAAGTTAAGAGTCTGTGTGTAAAAAAATCACTTCATATTGTTTGTTTAACTACAAACAGCACAGCTCAGGCACACATTCAGGTAGGAACATGTTTACACAATGTAAAATACATAAGCTAAATACTTTGCTTAGACTTAAACTTTGCTCTCACATCATTTACAGTCTTCAGTGTGGTTAATCTCCCTAAAATATGAACACTGTGTCTCTAGGGTGTTATCAAAGTGTAGTTTGTTAGCTTAAGCATCAAACTTCCTGTTTGTTTGACCAACAACAAACAGAAGAACTGTTTAAGGAGTCAGTTTGAAAGTCATTATTTTTTCATGAAGTTCACAAATTTGACATTATTTTTTTTAAATAATTAAGGTGCTGTATGCAAGTTTTTGACTCTTCTAAAGCATTAAAATACTATAATATGTTTGCAGATATTTAAGCAACATGCTAAGTGAAAATTCTTGTTTATCTGAAAAACAATGCTGAAGTCAGATATTCTGCCTCGAAAATGTGTGTTATGTGCCGTAACGGCTGTCTTTGTTTTGGTTCTATTAACCTGCTCACTGCCACAGGCAATCTTATTTCAGCACTCTAGGTTGCCTTGATGGAAAACAGCATATTTCATTCATTCATTCATTCAGAAAGGCTCTCAAAATATGCGTCTGTGACCAAAATGCAACATCCGGTGGACCGTAACAGCCTTCGAAATGAGACGCAAGAAGAATTCCACATGAGGTGGATATTAAATTATATAAACATTCTGAACATAAACAATAAGTGAGCAGGCTACATTGTAACATCATGTCCTACAACTTGCTACATCAGGGGTCACCAAATCTCGGTCCTGGAAGGCCGAGGTCCCTGCATGGTTTAGCTCCAACTTGCTTCAACACACCTGCCTAGGTGTTTCGAGTATACCTAGTAAGATCTTGAGTAGCTTGTTCAGGTGTGTTTTATCAGGGTTGGAGCTAAAATCTGCAGGACACCGGCCTTCCAGGAACAAGTTTGGTGACCCCCACGCTATGTGATAAGATACGCAGTGAGTAATTTGGACCAGATGAAACACAACCGAAATTTAAATACAGCCATTCAGAAGCACAGAATAGTGCACTTACTGCACTCCAACGAAATAGTCAGGTTTATAATCTAAATAATCAGGGCTTGATGGTAACGTTTTTGATCACCAGCCACTGTGGCTAGTAGTTTTCCAACATTACTAGCCACTCGCTATTCTCACTAGCCACACTTTTGTTGTTGGGAAAAGATATGCTAAAATTACTTGATTTAGACTTTGTGTTGTCCACATGAGCCCTCATTCATTTCCCTTTTTTGTGTGTATGAACTTGCTTAATGTGCCGAAGCAAATGGGTTGTGAATTCATAGTGTCGCATTGGGATTAGTTTTTTATTTTTCATGACTTTTCAGGGCTTAAAATGAAGGATTTACCAAATTTATCGCTCACCACACCAATAAAATTAATTATTTCTTAGGCACAAATGTTAATGTGTCAAAACAAGCAAAATATAGCTGTATGCATGCACTTTTTATTCAACAAAACCTTTCTTAAAAAAAACAATTGACATTTAAAAAAATATTATCTAAACCTATGCACAGTAATCTGTCCTGGCTAAAGGTTCCAGATCACCAGTAAACTACACATGAATGGGGAGTTAATCTCCTGTTAAAGCAATGTTATTGTAAAAAATGATCATTTAACCATATCAACCAAAATAACTGTAAGCAAAAGAAAGCAGGTGAAAAACGGACCATGTGTGAAGGATGTTAGAAGGATAGAAGGATGGTCATGTGCACACAGCTAATGTAAGGCACATAATCTATTCAATGATTGGTTGAAATTAAAAAAAAAAACGTCTGAAGCGCATGAAAGTAGCAGGAGCTGCTGGAGTATCACTTTTTGTCCAGTTCATTTCTGAGAACTGATAACAGCAGTTGTGTTTTCAGGCACGGTTGCGAGCATCACATCCCCTGCACGCGCGAGTGATGTCCTCTCATTCGGTATTAAGCTGCTTTCTTTTGCTTTTGCGAATGCTTTTTTAGTCAGTCATGCTGCTTCTCGATTCTAAAATCACATTTGTATGCATATCTCTTTTGTAGAACCCTGCTTTTAGGAAAAGTACAGTATAAAAATTATTTTCAACCAGCTAAAGTGGCTAGTAGGAGTGTTTGTCTAACCCACCACAGCTGAAATCTACCCACATTGTTAATGTCAAGCCCTGTAATAATACATATTAAACCTCTTTAACATTCTTAAATGTACATGCCTAATCACTGATATGTGTTCTAAAGTTCAATTTCAATTTTAAAATCTGAGGTAAGCTATCTGCTGCTGCTTTCAGAAGTATGGCAATCAATGTCATGCAATGGCATTCAAACTCACATTAGCATTTAACACTGAATAAAGCCCATGAGGTGTACCTGAGGTGATCATTGTCAGTTTTCTATTGTTCAGCTGCAAAAAAAAAAAAAAAAAAAAAACGTTTCCTATATATAAATTTCAAAAACTTCTTTCGATATGGAGAATAGTCTTTCTCTTGCGAGCTGTTACTTTTATTTAGAACACGATTCGAATTAGCCTTTTGGCTCGACAGTCTGGCACACTGTTGTTGGTGTCGTCAATCTGGCAACCTGCTCTTGCGTGTGTTTTGATCCAGGAATGCAATACCTAGGTCAACCACCAGGAGTTAAATTTACATACTGCACCTTTAAAATCATAATTTTAGCATAGTTACTGTGAAAATAAACAATGCTAACCAGTCCAGAATGAATTTAATTGACTATGTTTTTATTAATTGTTAGATGTAATCAAAATTCAAAGTAGATAAGATGTTATCCAAAAATAAAAATATATATTTTTAAATTTTCTAAATATTTATTACATAAAAACATATTACTTAAATTAAACAATAATATTTTTTATATATTTATTATGTATATTTACAAAAACAGAAACAAAAAAATAAAAAATTAAAAACAAAAAATAAAGCAAATTATATTTGGTTAATCTTTCATTTATGTAATTTAAATAACTAAACAGGTATAAAGATATACCTTTCCATGAAGAAAACGTTCAATAAAAGAAAGAAAAAAGGAAGGAAAGAAAAAGAAGAAAATTAGACAGCCAGCTGAACATTTTTCCGTCATGACACTCAACTTTGGTAGCTCATAATCGAATTTCAGCATTACTCATTACAACGCTTTTCCCGATGACGATAACGAGTAATTTTGTCTCAAACACGGACGTACTGTACACTTTCTTCCTTTCGGGATCCATCATGTCAGGTCACACCAGTACACGGTGTCAGAAATCCTCTCACACACTCCCCCAATAACAAGCTAAAGCCCGCTGACTTTTAGTGCTTTTAGAGCAATCTCCACCAACACCGCCATCAAAGGAAATGGGACACATCACAAAATATAAATCATTAGCTCTGTTGTGAGGCAGGATGAGGCTTAAGATCAGGGTGAATGCAGCAGCCCATTGTCAGAGGAGAGAAAAACAGCGCAAGGACACGACTGACGTCTCTGAGAACACGCTGAGAAACATATTCACCTCAAAGCTCCATTTCACTGCGCTTCCAAGAAGTCCGCAGAAGATACATAACAGCGCATTAGCATTTCAATGGTGGATTGCTGACGATCCTTGTGCGGAAGACATTTGAATAATGGAGTGGGGATTAGGGATTGTATTGAAGAACTGGATTCGATGGTCGTCATGAATAAAACAGGTCAATGCGACTTGTGAGGATAGCTGGAGAAAAGGCTAAATGTTGGTGCACGTTGCAGGTTCTCGTTAGAATTCGAACTACTGAAAGATCATGCAAAGTGTCACGACGATGTAGTCCTATTTCTGATTAAATTTCAAATTTCGATTCAAATTTTAAAAAGCAGGGTTTAGATTTCTCTTCATTCACATGATTCTCAATTACAGTTGAAGTTAAAATGATTAGCTCTCCTGTGAATTTCTTTTCTTTTTCATTTAGGTTTTTCTATAATACTTTTTCTTATTTGAGAAAGTTTTATTTGTTTTAGTTTGGCTAGAATAAAAGAAGTTAAATTTTTTTTTTTTATCATTTTAAGGTCAATGTTTTTTGCCTACTTAGGGCGCGATCACTTCGAACATGCCTTTTTTGAACGATTTACTAACGACCGCAAGCATTATGCACACTGCTTATGCGGCTTGCACACCTCATGTTTTAAATGCCTGCTGCGCTTCACATTTTTGCTGTTGTGCACCGTGTGCTCGCAGTTGAAAAAAGTCAACTCTGAGCTGAAAATTTTCGTTATGTCAGTCGCGTCTTTTCATTCTCCAATCAAATAAAAACAGGGTTTCTGTTGAGGTGCCTGCAGTGTTTGTGTTGTCAAGACAAATACACAGACTTTTGAAGTTGGAGAGAGACTTGTGGTTGCTGTTTTGAGTTATGCAGGGTTGTATGAATCACAAGTCTTGAATATCACAATATTATTACATTTTTTAATTATATTAATATTAACGGTAACACTCGCGCACATTACGCAGCTGATTCAGTCATTGCCTAACGACATAAAAGTGCTTTTTTTTGGTCAACAAATAAGTATGCTGCTCCTTGTGTTTTTGAAACGGAAAAGCACTATCGCTTTGATCGGCCCTTAAGCAGTATTTTTTCCAGATTGTCTACGGAACAAACCATCATTCTACAATAATTTGCCTAATTACGCCTTTAAATTGCACTTTAAGCTGAATACTAAAATCTTGAAAAAATATCTAATAAATATTATGTGCTGTCATCATGGCAAAAATACAAGAAATCAGTTATTAGAAATTGACAGTGGCTGAGAGAACTTAACATGCTGGAATTTAAGATAACACGTGCAATTACTAAAAATGCCAGCAAATTAATTAAAGATCTAATAATCATCAATAATGTAATAATCAAATTAATAAAACGTGCTGCATTTTCTCACCACACTTTCAAATAGCACAGAACACAATGGAAATGTTTTAAGGGGACCATAAAATGTGACGGACTTAGCTATTTATGTTATGGGCTGCGTCCGAAACCGCATACTTCCATACTATATAGTACGCTAAAATCAGTATGCAAGACGAGTAGTACGTCCGAATTCATAGAATTCGAAAATCAGTATGCGAGAAGTACCCGGATGACTTACTACTTCCGGCGAGATTCTAGAGTGCGCATCCCATGCATGCTGCGCTATCCCATGATGCCCCGCGAGCGAATTTATGAATGGGAGTAAAGCGCTGCAATAGGCCTTTTTCACACTTCCTGGTTCCGGTAAGCGAAGCAGTGTACCACAACATCCGGTTTCAATGCGACGGAGCAAGAAAGAATGGCAGGGTCATCTCAGCGCAGTGATTGCTGCGTTCCCAGCTGCTCCAACTCAAAAACGACACTCTTACTTTAATGACCACGATCTCCCGAAAGACGAAGGACAGGGAAAATCATGGATGACAATATTAAAGGGGGTTGAATGCCGTTTCAAGTTATATGCGGGAGTACATTCTTATGCTGTATGCATTTCAAAGCGGAGATTATTGTTTCATTAAAAACTGATGGTCTATGGTTTATTTTGATGAGTAATTATAATATAGACAAAACTCCAGTTAAGCTATCTGCCTTCCACAAACAAGTGCTCATCATGGTCATTAATCTATAAGGCATGATTTATCATGCTTATTTTGGAATAGACAGTTCATACAAATGCAAATCTCTTTTTTTTAATTGGTTTGACAGCAAAATTATTTGTTTAGTCAGTTATATAATAAAGATGGTATACTTTTCTTACAATTAACTCCTTTATTACAAAATCTCAATAACCCAGCAAGTTTTCAACTGTTATTGGTTCAATTCCTGCAGAGATGGTATTCATTCATGTTATTTAGAGGTATTAATAAGACCATCCTTCTGATGCATCGTCTTTTCATATTACTAAATCTTATGTCGGCAAATTTTGTTTTACTAAATACCAAGAGTAATGATAGAGCTATTCATACTCTTTTCCAAAAAGAAATCATTACTGTACCTTATATTCAATTTTATTATATGTCTTTATTAAAGGGTGAATTGAAGAAAAGTCTGGCTGTTACCACAGAAATATCATGTTAGAAATAGAAATAAAGAAATGTCCTATTAACTCATCCACAAGTTTTATCCAGCAAAACATTGTTTGCAAAAATTTAAAAGTGGGATTGATGTAAATTGTATTTTTGTAACGAATATGAGGAGACAGTTTTACACTTATTTTGGCATTGTACATAGTCAGCTTATGGGGTAAGCTGCAAAATGTATTAATAACGATTCTTTTGTGTTCAAAACCTCTTTCATTATGGATATATGTACATTTGGGCTTTACTTGATTATCCTAATCTTGAGGAAAATAGTTTTATTTATTTAATTTGCTTATGTTGTTAACAAAATTGTACATTCAAAATGTAAATTTACTAATATGAAACCAGATTTTAAGGTATTGATGACTGAAATATGCTTGTACAATACCAGTATCAACTCGACCCACTTTAAAATGTGTGAACTCTACCATGTATTTTATTATTACATATGTTATATTACATTTTGTATATTTGTATTTTATTTATAATTACCCCCTGGTATGTACATTTTTGTATTGTAAAATGTTATTTGCTGTTCTTTAAATCAATAATAAAAAAGTAAGAGCTAACGTGTTTCCAGACTTGAGAAAACCTCACGAGCATTAAACAACCTGTAATGCATTAACCGATAGCAACTCGCCATTCACTATATCTGACTCTGAATAAAAAGGAAGGAAGCGGTTAGCACAGTTTACAGACGGGACTACTGACATAAAAGTCATCCTGCTGGATGTTAAATAGCAAGGTTAATCTGGTTTACGAATGGCTTGAATGAGCAGATTTTATGCTGTTGGTTGTGCACTTTACTGGAACCTGACGTTGCAAACGCTGTGTAAGACACGTTTTCTGCACAAACTCTGCAAATCGGTATCATCTTTTAAATGCTGTTTTATTAAGGCAGTTTTACACATTCACCGAACAATATCTTCCTGTCCAAATTATGGCAAAGTTGACCGTGAGAAAGTCATCCGCTGTCCCGAGGCTGTCATGTCTCTGCGACTCCTAGCGAACCCGGAAATATCGATACACTGCTTCGAAGGGCGCTTCCGGTGTTCAATTCCGCTGTGAAAAAGGTCTATTGACGCAGATAGGTCACCTGACCATGACAAAATGGCGGATGTAGTACGTCCGAATTCCATTCACACTTTTCACATTCATACTGTATAGAACGTACTTTTCTAACGGCCGAGAAATACGTTTAAATTCAAATGCAGTACCTACTGAGTAGTAGGCGGTTTCGGACGCAGCCATGGTTTTTAGACTAATAAAATACAAAAGACAAGGGAACCCGGATGTTAAAATAAACAAACAAAAAACTCATCTTCCAAAGATCACCTACAACTTCAGTCATGGCACAGCGGCGTCCGTCATGTTTTATGGTCCCCTTGAAACATTTCCGTTGTGTTCCGATGTTTTTGCAAATGTTGTGAGAAAATGCAGAGCGTAATGTGTATGCATTGTAGAGATTTTCAGCACGTGTGCTGTCAAACTGACGAAAATCTTTTCTTAATTTGCTATCATTTTTTGTAAGTGAAGTTTCATAAACTAATTTCGAGAGGAGCACGTGATATGATTGTGCACCGCTGGCCACTCATCCGTAATCAGTAATAATCCAATCAGAATGATCCTAGCTTAGTATAAACGGATCACTTTCTCCCCATTGCACTATCTTCATTTTGGAAGAATGCTTCCCGCTACAAACGCTCCAGCATTTAAACTACGCTTCAGCATCATTCAACCTTCTGGCATGGAAGAACAAACAATCAACAACAACAACAACAACAACAACAACTTCTCCAACCAGAACCCCGCTCTCCCCTAAACTCCAGCAGCTGCCTCGCCAGCAATCGAGCCAGAATCCCCGCAAGAAGCCGGCATATCAACTCTTCCATCTTCTACTTCATCTGCCCTTCACTACACAAGCCACAACTTCGTCTAAACTTATGACGCCGGCGATTCAAGCCACCGGAGAGAAGCCGAACTCACAGATCACCTAACGTTAACGGTCCACTTTCGGTAACGTGCATGCTTTAAAGGGAAGTCTGGCGAGATCAGCGTGAATAGAACGCTTTAAATGAAGAACTCACCTCTCAGCCTCCCGCTGGTCAGCAGATCCATAACATTCTGATAGCTGAAGTAGTTCGAAGGCAAATGACCAGGCAATCTAATCCATAAACATTATTCCATAACACCTTCATTCGTCGATATACATCCTTGAAAAGGTGCACTGATATCCAAACCAGCTGCTGGTGAGAGTGGAGCCATACTTTCACGCATAAACATTGTAGCGATCTGATCTACAAAATGGCCGCCGGCCTTTGCACTCTGAACTCTTGACCGTGACTCCAAGGAGCCAATAGCTTAAAGAGGAAGTATCACCATCCAATGAGCTTTCCAAAATTGGAGACGGTCCCGCCTTCTCTCCCGACAAATTCATGAATGGACTGCGTGCAGAGACTTTGATTCCGGCCAAATAATCATGTTGAGATTATAGACATGTTACTTATCATGGATGGAGTAAAGCCATGATAAACATTACATTCACACAGTTCCTATTAAGTGGCAACATCGTTTTTTTAAGTTTGATGTAGGCAGTTGATATATTTACATTTTATTAATAATTATATATATATATATATATAAAAAAAAAAAAAGTAAATAAAATTCTGAAATGAGTATTACCCAGCAAGTGATAGACAACCTACACATCAAGCAGTAACCCTTTTGTATCACGCCAATTGTGACTCTCATATCAATACACCTGAATGTCAGTCAGTTTATAATGACAGTAAGAAAACAATTTCCTGCTCGACTGCAACAAACAAGAGGAGGACATTTCTGGCCATGGAGTAGCTTTCATACTTATACTTTGTGTTAAATACATTTGAGTTTTAAAAACTTCTATATCAGTAAGGGGTTTAAACTCCACTCCATCATCATCTCACCAGCTCTCCAAGAGGTTTCCTGGACTTCCAGCATAGAAACGCCCCATACGCTCAGTTCTCCTTCTAATTACCACCCTGCAGGAGGACAAATGCCCACTTCTACAACCCTAGCACATTGTGACATTAAGTATTGGAACATGCATTAACAAAGGCGCTTCCATTCACAATCATCCATACGCTTATGAAGACTCCTCCCACGAATATCAGCCAATACAATTAATCATGTCTGCTGTACATGTGCCATGTTGCTAAGATTTCATTTCTAATTCTCTCTTATTTTCCATTTTAGAGTTCAAGACTGCCAGCTCCTGAAACTGCCCTCATTCAACCCATCACACTCTTCATCCATTCCTAATGCATTTACACTCTTCGCAAAGATACTTTCTGCCTATACAGCCCACACCCTTGATACCATATTCACATATCCCCCCCCCCCATTTACTCTTCATATCACTATTGACAATATTTAGCACTCATAACGCTCCAATGCTGACTATCATTTGTACTTCCGCTATAGCAGAGTCGCTCCGCCGAGCCTCATTCTCCTTCTGCACCCCCCCCCTCTTCTTCCCATTTATAGATGACACAATCGCCCTGTCACACGATTCTGATTTAAGAGATGCTTATAGCAGTTCTTTGCTCCACAGGTATCCCCCAGATCAACTCTCAGTCACTCTTACACAGGGTGTCTCCGGAGTATCAGAAAGTGTTGGGGGCTGATAAGTCAATATAGAGGAGTTTGAGGGCTTAAAGTATTAGAAAGTCTTAGATTCCTTTACAAGGTAATACATTATTGTTGAACAAGGTATCATCGTATGCTAAAGTTTGACTGTATTCAAGCCGTGAATATCAGGATACTAGGTAGTTACGTAATCAGTAAAATTCTACTAAGGTTTGACAGCTTGCCGCTTGTTTACTGCAACACTATCAGTCTGCAGCTCTATAGGTGACAACCTGTCGAATCGGCAAGATTTTAATATACATGTGTCTGTATTCGAATGTTTAGTTGGATTCATTTGTTACATTTTAATATTTAGTAAATATTCCGTAAGATAAATCTCGCCAGCTTTTTTGATTGAAAATGGTGATAAGGTCTTTAAATGTGTGGGAAAAGTATTAAAGGTGTTGAATTACTTCTCTTATTCCTCTATACTATGTTTCAGAATATGAGCAGCCATCACAGAAGTACAAAGGGCAGCAACAAATCCAGATCCTAGAAAGGTGGTCACCTGATGCCTTCAAGACATGCGTCCTAGCCACTGGCCCCCCAAAGAAGCCCAGATGGCTCTTGTCAGCCATAATCTCACATCCACTCAAGGGCGAGGGTGTGACCCAGCCACCTTCTTCTTTTTCTTCCTTCTAGCCTGAGTAACACTCAGTTTCCTCCCCCAGCCACATAGGTAATTGGAGTTTCATCCAAGCCCCCCGTCACCCCGCCACCCGGGCCGTTTCCGCTGGAGTCTTCACAGCCCCCTCCCATTTCCCGACTCCTGCCGGACCCCGCCCCCCCTAAAGCTCTGACTTCCGCAGAAGTGTTACCCCGAGCTACGACCCCCGCAGGGGTCGTCTCACCGTCCCTTCCAGGCCTTAGCAATCTTTATTTATATATATATATCTATATACACCTGTACATAGATATATATTTATAATAGCGCTGTCACTCCCCCGCTCCATCTCCTAACGGAGTGTTCCTCGAGCACCTAACTTATCCCGTCACCCTCTAACAGGAGTCTTCACTGTCCAAATCCCCTTTCCCAGACTCCTGCTAGAGTAGGCCAGCTTGCCCTGTTCCCCGGGCGCCGACCCCCGCAGGGGTCAGTCACTGCCCCCCCCAGGCCACTGAAACTCATTATATATGTATATCTATGGATTTTCGTTTATAGATATATATTTATATAGAGCGCTGTCACTCCCCGCTCCATCTCCAGTCGGAGTGTTCCACGAGCATCGACTCCAGCAAGAGTCTGGCCAAACTTGCCACTCACCCTCTAGCAGAAATCTCCACCGCCCAAATCACACTTCACGATTTCTGCTAGAGATGGCAAAATAAAAAATTGCTGCACCCAACTCCCGCAGCGCCCATTCTGACTCAGAAGTCTCCTGATCACCCCCTCCAGGCCTTAGATTATCCCATTATATATATATATATATATATACTCTCTCATATATACATATATATTTATATATAGCGCTGCCACTTCCCTGCTCTATCTCTGTTTGGAGTGTTTCTCGAGCATTTTTGACTCTTAATGAGCCAACCCCGCCCACCCCTTATGGCCCCCCTTCACTAGTCTCCACCCAACCCCCTCCCCCGCTCTGGCTTCCACAGGAGTCAGTTTCAAACTTTGCTCCAACTGGAGCCCCCTACTCTTTCTTCATTCCTTAATTACTATATCCAGCAGCCGGATATAGTAAAAACTTTCTAGCTTTTTGGGGGAAATTCTTTGAAATACTCGGCTGCTGTCCCGAGCTAGAGGCATTTTTTGGGGAGCGATCGAGACCTACCTGATCTCGGTTCTCCTGATATGCTTCTAGACCGGGCGGGAGCCCTGGGCTCAAATATCTCCGAGCTCAGGGTTCTCTCCCGGGACAGCATGCCAAACCTGCTATAAGTGCCAAGCATATCTAAGTGGGAACTCTTGAAGTGAAGTTTCATAAACTAATTTCGAGAGGAGCACGTGATATGATTGTGCACCGCTGGCCACTCATCCGTAATCAGTAATAATCCAATCAGAATGATCCTAGCTTAGTATAAATGGATCACTTTCTCCCCATTGCACTATCTTCATTTTGGAAGAATCCCCCCTTCCACCCCATCTCCTCCTTTTTCTCCCCTTCTAAAGGGGGAGCGATCGAGACCTACCTGATCTCGGTTCTCCTGATATGCTTCTAGACCGGGCGGGAGCCCTGGGCTCAAATATCTCCGAGCTCAGGGTTCTCTCCCGGGACAGCATGCCAAACCTGCTATAAGTGCCAAGCATATCTAAGTGGGAACTCTTGAATTGCACGTGTTTTTTTAAATTGCAGCACATTAAGCTCTCTCAACCACTGTACAAATTAGTTATTAAAACTATTATGTTTAGATGTGATGAAAAAAACATGTTAAATTGAAATTGGGGAAAATATATACGAGGGCTATTGATTCTGACTTCAACTGTAAATATAAAGAAGTGAAATTGTGACCCATAGGTGGCACTGACACAAAACGTATTAGGTTACTTCAAGCTCTATTAGGATTCATATCCATATGCCAAAGTTTATACTATTTAGCATTTTCAATGAAACCAAAATTAAAAATGGCTGGCACCCCAAAACCCGATTCCCGTACAGCACATGTCTTTGGACTGTGGGAGAACACAGAGTAAACCCACGCAAACATGGGGAGAACATGCACACTCCACAAAGAAATGCCAACAAGAAATGCCCAGCAGGGTTTCGAACCAGCGACCGTTTTGCTGTGAGGCAACAGAAAAACCACTGAGCCACCATGCTGCCCAATAAGATATCATAGAATATTGTGTACATCAACCTGCTGTAGGTCAGCTATACTGTAATGCTTTTTACAAATGCTAATTTCAGAAACAGGCAAAATGAAGAACAACATACAAAACAAATAGGGCTTATCGAATAGCAATGAATGTAAGGGCTTAAGATTGAAAGGTTTTAAGATGAGACTGTATATATGAACATTGAGACGCTGTCACTGAAGACAATGCAGTTGTGACACATCGCCTGTGTCTGAAAGCTCTTGTCCTGTACTTTAATGAAAGCATTACTGTGTTTTGCTGGACAGTAATTCTGACTTAATAGCCAAAGTGTGTCTGTCTCCTGTCAGCATCGACATTACAGTCTTTACCAATGGAGTTTGCTGAACTTCTGTGCTCTTCCAAATTGAGTTTCAGAGGACAAAGGTTAACGATTTCGTTCTAATGGACAAAAATGAGCTGTGTAGCTCAGTGAGTAACAGAAACAAAATATAGTGTGTGGATGTGTGTGTTATATGTTATAATACTAGAAACGCCAACTGACCAAGCTGAGACTCGAACCAGCGACCTTCTTGCTGTGAGGCAACAGCACTACTTACTGCGCCACTATATCACCCTATATCACATAACTATCATGTTGTCATATATATATATATCACCCTATACACTATATCACCCTATATCACATAACTATCATGTTGTCATATATATATATATATATGAGCTTCCTCCAGGTTCTCCAGTTTCCCCCACAAGTCCAAATACATGCGGTAAAGGTGAGATGGCTAGGCTAAATTGTCTGTAGTGTATGAGTGTGTATGGATATTTCCAAGAGATGTGTTGCAGCTGGAAGGGCATCCGCTGTGTAAAACATGTGCTGGATAATTCCGCTGTGGCAACCCTGGATTAATAAAGGGACTAAGCCAAAAAGAAAATGAATGAAGGAATGAAAGTTATACTATTTTAAAAATACTAATGAATAAAAATGCATTTAAATTTTTAAAATATATTTTGTTTTTAATGTATATTTTATGTATTATTTTTTATGTTACTTGTCATTTAATATATTGAATCATTCATATAATTTATTATATTTTAATAAACATTAATACAGTGTTTATGAAAGTTGTTATATTACAATTCCAAAATACGAACAAAACAACAAATTATTAAAATAATTGTTTACTCCATAATTTCACATTTGTATATATTTGTTTTAATAACAGTTCTGTCTAGATCTCGAATCTGATTGACTGATAGCTGTGCGATATTCTGCAATAACAGCACTCGTACAGCCTCCTCATTCTTCTGTATTACTCCACCCACATAGAGTCACAGCAGATTAACACACTAACTACAGACAAATATTGCAGCTGTTGCAAACTGTTGTATAAACACAATATCACACAAGTAGCAGTGCGATATGAATTTATATCTTCACTGGTAGGACACTTAAGGCACAACGCATGCCTCCCGCCAGTGACAATACAAGTGTGATATGTATATATATATTTATACATCAGTTCTGTCTGGTTGTCAAATCTGATTGGCTGATAGCCGTGCGATATTCAGCAATATCAGCACCCATACAGCCTCTTTACCCTTTGTGTATTACTCTGCCCACATACAGCCAGCAAAAAGCAGACACTACAGATCTAAAGTTTAAAAGATGCTTGCTCAGCTGTTTAACTGTCAGCTTATGTTTTGAATCCAACGCGGAAGAAAGTAGTTCCTCATACAAAAGGGTTTTTGAGACTCTCCATGTTTGAATTTGTTTTTATATACACAATTATGCCGTCAAACTGTTGTATAAATGCAATATCACACGAGTAGCACTACATAAATATATATATATATATATATATATACATACACACACACACACAGTATATATATATATATATATATATATGCATTTTTAAATTAGCTTTAGAATATATTAACATTAATAAAATTATGCAATAATATTTAAATAATATTTTACATTTTGAAGCTTGTTATACTCCATGTAATCAATATCTTTTAAAATAAGTACCTCCAGCCACTCTACATTACAGTCTCCTTTTTTTTTTTTTTTTTCCAAATAATAAGCGAAGCTAATTTGGTCTGAAGAAGAAAGAGTTTAAATGTGGCCCAAAGCTAATTACATCCACCCACACAGCAAACCCTGATAGAAGACATGGATTAGCAAAAACCATTGACATGTGCAAATTACACTTGATTCATCAGTTATTTACTACCTTAACAATAATAGAGCATAACATTAGCAATTTCAAAACATTATAGTGTCGCTCTGCAATTATGGGTTATTTAGAAAGATAAGGCATAATAGCTGACACGTTTATCTTGGCCTCTGATGTGCCACTTCAACATACGCCAGGCTTCGTAAACTTCTGCTGCAGAAATCCCAGGGTGATTTATGTCTACTATTGTTTCCGTGATGCTTTCAAGATGTCCCATTTATTTTACAGCTTTGTTTTTTAATGTCTCTTGCTGATAAAGTCGTGTTGTTTTTCTTTTCACAGACAGTGTGTGGCTGTTTCTTTTGGCCTCTGTGGAGAAATGAATCCGGTGAAACACTCTTACTTATTTTATTTGTCTGCTGATGTTTTTTAACACACACACACACACGCTATTAATTTTTTGGGGGGGGGGTTGGGGGGGTTCTATTTTAGAGGGCTGGACGAACGGACAGGCAGACAGACAGATGGAATCATGGATGGATAGATGGATGGATAGATGGATAGATAGATAGATAGATAGATAGATAGATAGATAGATAGATAGATAGATAGATAGATAGATAGATAGATAGATAGATAGATAAATAGATAGATAGATAGATAGATAGATAGAATCATGGATGGACGGACGGACGGACGGACAGACAGACAGACAGACAGATAGAATCATGGATGGATGGATGGATGGATGGACGGACGGACGGACAGATAGATAGATAGACGGATGGACGGACGGACAGTAAGACAGACAGATATATAGATAGATAAAATCATGGATGGACGGACGGACGGACGGACAGACAGATAGATAGATAGAATCAGACATGGATGGATGGATGGATGGATGGATGGATGGATGGATGGATGGATGGATGGATGGATGGATGGATGGATGGATAGATAGATAGATAGATAGATAGATAGATAGATAGATAGATAGATAGATAGATAGATAGATAGATAGATAGATAGATAGATAGATAGATAGATAGATAGATAGATAGATAGAATCATGGATGGATGGATGGATGGACGGATGGACAGACAGATAGATAGACAGATGGACGGACGGACAGACAGACAGTAAGACAGACAGTTATATAGATAGATAGAATCATGGATGGACAGACGGACAGACGGACAGACAGACAGACAGACAGACAGACAGACAGACAGACAGACAGACAGACAGACAGACAGACAGACAGACAGACAGACAGACAGACAGACAGACAGACAGACAGACAGATAGATAGATAGATAGATAGATAGATAGATAGATAGATAGATAGATAGATAGATAGATAGATAGATAGGAATGATAAAAGTGTGTGTATGTGAACAGTGTGTGTGTGTTCTGATCTGACCTCTCTCTCCTCACACACTCTTCAAAGAGCTGCAGGTTGTTCCTCTGCGCTGATGACACACAGACTCACTGCTGAAAGGAAACAAGACGTCTTTAATGATATCAGCACCGCATCTCACTGTATAACACTCTCCTTTCATATCTGCAGCAGGATTACTCTCACCATCTGACAAAATAAATACATAAAAAACTTTGCAGAGTAGTACCTGCTACATTTCAGTCGTACTCCTTGCACTGTCAGGCGAAAAAAATTGACATATTTTTGTACAACAAAACTACTTGATAAAACAGCTGCTAAAAATGTCAACAATCTGAATGAGTTTTATAAATCATTAAGTCTTGCTAAAGGAATCCCCACTTGCATTTTATTGAATACTTTTGAAATACTATTTAAGTGTCTAATTACAGCACACACATAGAGACTTTGCTCATCTTTTACTCATAACCATCAATTTATCTGACAGCATAAGCATGGCTTCAGTCCGAATCCTTATAATCTTTGTTTTGACAATTGCTTGCCGTAAAAGCAACATCTGCAATCTGATCTCACTCATCTGTATCATTTTTGTTCAATGATTAATCTTAGATCTCACTCTGCCCCTCAGATCGGCACATTTCAGCTCTCTCACTAATCCCAGAAACGTCATTCAGGTCACGAATATGCTAGTAAGAGATTTACTGGCATTAACTCATTCATTGTCAGTCAACACATAGGGAGATCAAAAGTCGGTGACGCAGAGGTTGTAACGCGTAGGCCTTTACGTGTATTGTATACATTCATATCCGAGACTTCCGGTTTAAGGCGTTATTATATCTTAAACACTGAGCTGTTTAAGAAATGTGACAAGATGTCACGACAACTATTTTTGTTACTTAATCTAAAAACTGTGACAAAATGTTTTGTTATACAATGTTTAACTTAATATTTTAGCCAGTTTAAAGTACATAAGTTAGATCTTGGCAGCAGTACTGAAAAATCAAGTAAAAGTATCATTACTTGCCTTAAAATGTAGTGCAAGTAGAGTAGAAGTATCTGTTGTCAGTATTACTCAAAGTCCTCAAGAGTAGCGAGTAGTGAGTATTACGCTGTGAGAAGCTGATGCATTTACATCTCATTTGTGGATGTGTGTAAACGTAACATTCTGTAGCGCATTTAGTCATTGCCCAAAAGGCACACATCGTCATAAGACGTCAATATTAGGTTAGTTTTAGGTTGTGATTTCAGGTACTAAAATTATATGTCTAGCCAGCGTCTAAGGACAACATTAGTTTGATGTCCAATAATGACTTTAAATGACATTGATGTTTGGTCGATTTTAGGTTGTTAGAAAGTGACCAAAATCCAACAACAAGCCAACATCTTAAACCAATATCACATTGACGTCAAATACCTACGTTTATTCGTCAGGTATGGCAACTAATATCTAACATCTAATGGACGTCATAGTGGCAACGTCGACACAACGTTAAGCTGTAATATCATATTTTGATATTTGGTTGGTCTTAGGTTGGACGTTGACGTCAACTTGATTTTCATTTCCAAACAAAATGCAACATCGCCACGACGTTAGGGTACAATGTCAAGCTGACGTCATGTTGATGTCTTGTGCCTGCTGAGTGTTTAAGGCAATTTCGGTCATCATACATTAAACTTCCGTCAACTTTTCATCAGTGACATGCATCTAAACAGTCTCTGGGTCAAATGCGTGTAAAGATTTTGGACATTTTTCGGACACTTTTAACGCTTCCAAACAGTTTGCTGCAATTATATATCGCCCATGTCTTGAGGTAGATCATTATGAAGCGATTTACCTTCTGTGTGCGATTTGATTGGACAGGAATTACAGAAATATTATGAAACAAACAAAATAAAGCAGTGACTGCAGGTTTAAGGAAAGTAGTGGAGTAAAAGTACCGATACAACTCTAAAAATGTACTCATCATCGATGACGTAAACATGCTCAGGCCCGAATGCGATGTGAGTGCAGGCCTTCGGGGCAGACGGGAGGGAGGGCAAGCGTGCTTCGGCCCGGTTCAAGGCAACAGTGCATAGTGTGAGTACGCCCTTACACTATATTGCTATTACAGTAGCATACAGCCGTCTGTATACCCTACGTTATCTGCTGATCTAGATATTTTAAAATTTACGGGAGTTCTACGCTAAGCTTACAACTGTTAAACAAAGTGTAGGTTACTGTCAAAACTGTCAGAAGTAGTGTGAATGATGTAAAAATGACTTAGTATATTTTAGTATGGCTTAGAAGTATATTTTCAGATTTCTTACCTCCTCTACCGCTCTGCTGTCCTCTGGTGCAGCAGCTAAAATTAAGCCTTTCGAGAATATTTTAGCGTCTGCTTTTTCAGCCTGATCTCACGAGAAAACGTAAGTATTTTACGTTTTGGCAGTTTAGTGGCTATAATTCGTACGAATTCGTACAAATTCGTACAAGATCAGTCATACAAAATTGTACGATTTTAAAAAGGAGGCATGGGCACCTAACCCCACGCCTAAACCCAGCCGTCATTGGGGGATGTGCAAATCGTACCAAATTGTATAAATTAGATTGTACGAATTCATACAAATCAGCCACTAAATCAAAAAGTTACGAATTGCAGTGAGATTGTGTTGTTTTTTTAGAGTCCTTTTTTTGCTTTCTTGGCGCTTTTCGGCACTGCATTTCCTTCTTTTTACAGTTCAAATCTTACCATAAGAATTAGCATGTGTTGCACTTACTGTTTTTTTTGACATTCTTCCTAGATTTTAATTACGTTTTTCATAACCTCTAAATGGGTCGGCCCCTCTCAAAACCAGCCGGTTGTCACCAATTGGGCCAAATGCTTAACAATTAAATATTATTATTATTATCATCATCATAATATTCACATCTTGCAAGAGATAAACGCTGCCTGTATGCAAAAACAACACATATTAAGAAATAAATTTAAAAAATGGTCCAGTCCCATGGCATTTGCCAGAGTTGGAAGATGGCAAATCCGCCCCTGCGTACGGGTGTAGTAATGAGCAAACAAAGAAAACAAAGGCATCACATTTGATTGGTAAGATTTAGTTTTTTTTACATTTTTGTATGTTATAAACTTTTATGCTCAGCAAGTAACATTACTGATGATAAGACAGTCTCTTACTGCACTGACCTTAAGGCAAAGTAGCACCAACTTCCACTAAATACCAGGTTTATGCTAGTTTTGTTGAATAAAATAAGCAAACTGTGTAAATAAAATATGATAGCAAGATGCTGCGTGCTAGAAACTTGTATTATTGTCGGCTAAGTGAACGAGTGGTTGATAACGTGGATTCATGCACAAACAAATCGCTCCATCTGTTAGAATAAGTGAAAGCAGGAGAGGGGGGTGTGTTTCAGGACACAGATTAGATCAAATTTAACAGGTAGGGAGTATAATACATGTCCATGCACACAAACACGTGCTCTTTGTCGGCAATGCCCATGCGGCCACTTATACATCAATGTAGAAAAGCATTGTATAATTATAATTTTCATAATTAAAAAAATAAAAATTTGCATACGAACCACTAGGAAAACACCAGATCATCTCTGGATGGCCAGTCCTCCACTTTACCACCTTGGTCCCGCATTAATTTCAAAGGAGCGCTACCCTGTACTAAAATGGCAACTATATTGATGCATTCCTTCCAATATACAACAACAAAGTAGGCGACATCTAATGGAAATATCTATGTCTACAGACTAACAGTATGCCATCCTGCCGCAACCCTTTTTGGCCAGTGAGAGGACGTTGCCGTCCAACCAATTTTTACTGGCTTGCGATGACTAGAAAAAGTCATTTGATTCAATTAAAAATTGATGCAGAAAATATTTTTTGGCTACATCTTATCTTTTTTTTTTAAACCAATGTCTCTTACAACCAAAGCATCCCTAACAGTTAAGGAAGATGTTAGTGACTTTCAGCAGACAATAAAAATGCCATTATATCAATTAATTAAAAACCTTTAATCTAAAACATTCAAATTGGCCAAATGTTTCTTGCCTAATAGCATTTAGTTATGAAGGATATACTGAATAAAGCTTAACATTCCTATTTTGCCATTTATATCTTACCTCAGACTTTTTGGAAGCCGTTTCACCACAGGGTTTTAAAAAAACGCATGTTTTTGTGCATTTTGTAACTATTATTTTGTGAACTCACGATTGGAAAAAACAGACCTCAGAGGTATATCAGGAAAAAAGTAAAGTATTTCTCAAAATTCTGAAAGTGAAATCACAATTCTGACAAGCCGAAATTCTGGCGATGTAACCGTCAAACGCGCGGGAAAATAAGCTTTAAATTCCAAGACATAACCGATGTTTTTGAGAAATAATATGAACAAGTGAGAAAGTGTCAGAATTGTGAGATTTAGCCTAATGGTATCTTTATACGTGTATTACTCTTTTTACCTTATATAACTTGACCCTTGAGTTCCTTTCAGGCACAGCAGCTTAAACTATGACCTTCAAGACCTTTTTCAAGACATTTTGACTGTTTAATATCAAACGCCGCGTCTAGGTCTAGAAGGGATACAGCTGTTGTGACACTACAATACATATTGTGAGAGGGTTGGAGTAGACTTTAATAAAACACAATCTAATGATTGATTTATTAAATAACGAACCATTCTCGTTATAACAATACTGTGAAAGTTGGGGTGGAAAATTAATTTAAAAAATAATTGGAAATCTAATAAAGAACTTCTGACCGCAGCTGCATCCCTTTTAGCATGAACCCTGAAAAAAGGCCAAGCATGTTCCTATATAACCCGTAGACTGATATAGCCACGACTTTGCCGCCACCTGTTGGCTGCTAAGTCATAACGCTTCGTGTCCTGGATGTTAAACCACACTCTAATCATGCAATTTAGCCCATTCACAAAGCAAACTCTATTAAAGAAAGTTTGTTATTACCCATAGTAAAAACCCTTATTAAAAATTAGGATTAACCCTTATGTGCTGTTGGGGATGTTTCCGTTCACTATGGGGTGATTTTCAGTCTTAATTTGGCCATAACTTTCTGTTTTGGTGAGCAGTATGTTTTTGGTGACAAATCTTATTGACACACATTTTGAGAAAATGCTTTGATAAAAAAAAAAAAAAAAAAAAAAATATATATATATATATATATATATATATATATATATATATATATATATATATATATATATATCCTTTTATTATGTTAGGGATGAAGACCTCCACTAAATTAAACTACTGTAATGCATCAGATTTTTTGTTGTTGCATAAATCTGTTTATCAACCTCAGTCCTGATACCAAAACTACTAAATGTTTTTTTTTTTTTTTTAAATTACAGGATTTTAACTCTTTATTTGCCAAATTCGTAAGTTATGTCAATGACTTGGTCAAAAAAAAACACAAAATTAAGTTTTTTCAAAACAAAAAGTAATTGTGGACTGGATTAAAAATAAATATTTTATCAAAGTATTGGACATGTGAAACAACATTGCCTTTGGTGTATTGTTTTTGATTAATTTATGTTCCCTCATTTACTGTTGGTGGCTGTTTTTGCCCCATTGACTTCCATTATAACCACATTTTTTGACTACAAAACCAGGACACCATATAATCACATATTTTTGATTGTCAGTGACTTTTCCTGTTGGCAGGAGGTAAAATTAGTCATTTTTACTGTTGATCATAAGTTACCATTAACCCTTTAGATTTACTGTGATAAAAGGTAAATAAATCAAGTCCAAAATTACTTTTTACATTGAAAAGACATGATTGTGTTTTTTTTTTCACAAAATCAGTGACATCATTTATGAATTTGGTAGGAGTTAAAATTCTATAATTTTTAAAAACATTTAGTATTTTTGATTAGGACTGAGGTTGAGTAACATTCATGCAAAAAAAAAAAAAAAAACATCTGATGCAATTTTACAGCAGATGTTTTCATCCTGAACCTTACAAAAGGGCAGTAAACTTGAACAGTGCACAAGGGTTAAATGGAAACCAAGTCAGAAGACAATCCCTGCGTCAGGTTGTAGATTAAATCAGGCCTTTTTTTTTTACACGATTACAATTCACAAACAGAACTTTTCCCTTCTTGCTGGCACAGATAGCGTTTTTATTACAAAAAAGAAAAAAAAAAAAAGTCGATGCATGATCATTGTAGCATTACCAGGAATATGTGGCATTCCCATCACTCTTCAGGTAGAAAGGTTGACTCGTTTGGAGAGGAGAACAGTTATAAAAAGTTGGGCTGTTTTAATGCAGGCCCGCAGGTAAGAATCACTCCTACTAGCTACATGCAAACGGAGACCCATTTTCCTTTTCAGTCATTCACCCCAGATCTGCATTTCATCGAGGGAAAGGGGGAGCATGTACGTAACATACCGTCTCTCTGAGAATAAATTAAGTTAAAAACTATACCAAAAAACGTCTTTTGTCCAAATCTTGCTCATGTTGAAAGGATACAAGAAACATTTACAAATAACAGCGGTGGCAAAATAAATGAATTCTGAATATCTCAAATCAGTTCCTCATAATAATAATAATAATAAAGACCTCAGAATAAAACAGACCAATTTGCCAATCTAACATCGCTCCGCTTTGCCTTGGGTTGGAAATTAAATACGTGTTTTTTTTTTTTTCATGTTGTTATTGTGCAAGAGGACAAAAATCCTATCAAAAAGACAGCTTATGTTTTGGTCACACTTCCAATCGGTGTATTTCTTCTTTATCAATCCTCTGTTTCTGTATACATTTGTCTGTTATAAAATATTTGTTTTGTTTTATTCATACAATCATTAACTATAGCAACATTACTATTCACTTTTAAGTGGCAAGATGTCAGACAGATCACCTCATAAGAACAATAGTATATAAACAAATGCAAAAAAAAAAAAAAAGATCATTAGAGTATGTTTCTCTTCATAACAGTTCAAATTTCTCTGTACAACTGTCTAATATGAATATTGCTGGTCCTGATCTGGTGGCGTCAGTGCAGTGCTGGAGTAATTCAGCAGCAGCGGCGGTGTTGGTGTTGTTGGTGGTGTGTTTTTTATTTTATTTTATTTTTTTAAATGGGGGCTCCAGTCTAGCACTGGTCTCTCCGGGTGTGTGTGCGGGACAGGAGTGGACTGACTCATCATGCTGGACCGTTCACTGCTGCCTCTGGGTTGGCCGTGCACTGCTCTGATCTGTGTGGGTAAAGGGGAGACGTTCAGTGTTTCTGGCAGAAGAGACGCGCAGCTGGAAGATGCTGGAAGACGCTGGACTTACTTGGCTTCGTCCATATCGGCCGCATCCTCGAGAGGACCATTTAGAGCTTCGCAAGGGGATTTTGCTTTCTCTAAGTGCTTTAGACTGTAGGGGGACAAAAAGACAGCTTAATGAAAATCTAGAAAAGCATATAAACTACATCAAATTATAGCAGTGATGATGATGATAAGATCTAAATACAATGTCTGCATAATATATGAACATTTTATTTAAAAATGTGACATTTACTTTAGTTGAAAAGGGATATGTTAGTTCATGTTAACTATATATTATAAATATTTAATTTAACTTTTCAACAGCTCTGTCTATGAATAAATTTAATGAGACAACAACAGGGGAAGCTATTACCTTTCGTAATTTGACATAAGTCTTAAAAAATAAAAATAAAAATTGTTATATTAATTGCACCCTTGTATATTGTATAAAAAAATGACAAATTAACATACATATATATATATATATATATATATATATATATATATATATATATTTTATTTTTTTTTTTTGTAATTTTGCTTAATTGAGTAAACCCCATTTTAAAAAAGAATATTTTTATTCATTTCTCTGTGAATATAGGCATGTATTTTGGTGCAATTAAACAAAACCGATTTATTAAACAAATATATTTATTAGAATAATATTTTAGTCACCAAACATATTTAAAAAATTAAAAGAGAATGCAATTAAATTCAAGCAAAATATTGCAAAAAAATAAAAATAAAAAATTACAACCTTCAAAAATGTCAATTAAATTTGCCAATTTTTTGCTTCTCTTGATTTTTCCTTTTTTAAATTTGTATTTAATATTTTTGTATAATATACAAATTTGGCTGTTCTAGTTTTTGGACTGTTAATGTAAGTTATCTTGTTAGATAAGCTCCAGATTTGGCTTCAGTACTGATTTATCTAATGTTTACGTACAGATATAATATTGTTTACCTTCCTATTAAAAACATGAATTTAAGAGAGATGTGTACTTGTATATGCTGAACACTGTAGATATAGGGTTTGTGCTGGTTTCACAAAGTCAAATTTAAGACCAATAATAATAATAAAATTTCAGACTTTCCCATAAGGAAAGAAAAATTTATTTGCCCCATCAAAAAACTACTTGTAATACATTTATTCATATATACATATGTTTTGCAACATAACTATTAAACAATGACATAAAAACTCTTCAAAACCTAAATGTATGCACAACAGACTGTTCTAAGCTATATTCAGATCTATTTGCTGGTGATTGGATGTGTGTTGGATCGATTAGGTAGCTTTACATAGACGATTCGCGCAATTGACGAACTGGGCTCGGCTTAGTCAGAAGCACTGCTGAAAGCTTCCATCATCCAGGTTCAGTTTCTGGAGGAGTTTATGAGCTCAGAGAGCTGGGTGCACTTCTGAAAGGATCTAGAGCAGTGGTTCTCAAACTGTGGTACGTGTACCACTAGTGGTACGCAGACTTCCGTCTAGTGGTACGCGGATGAATCAAATATGTAATATGTACATGCTACATATATTTAAAGAAATTATCAAAAATGATTTATATACGAATATGATGACATAAAGCCTATATTTATGAGGTCTAGGCAACATTTCCAGGTGCTAACAAACCAGGAGTTATTTCTTTTTTAAACTGTACAGAGCTTAAGCTGCTTTACTAGACCTAATACGCTACTGTATTTCAAAACTGCTCATTATGGTGGTACTTGCAAAGACAATTTTTTTCCGAGGTGGTACTTGATGAAAAATGTTTGAGAACCACTGATCTAGAGCACTCAGACACGGCTTCAAATGAATCGACGCTGTTTTTCAGCCTTCATAAAGCACATAAACAGCTATTCTCTCAATAAAATCCATGTTAGTCAACTAGCAACGAAGCTAGAGTCACCGGGCATACAGAAGCCCCACTCATCACCCGAATACTCATCTATTGCTCAGTGAATTGGACGTGTGAATGAAGCAAGTAAACTAAAAATGTTCATGTGTTTATTTACTATCATGATTTATTTACGGTTGCCACATCTGGTGTAAACACAGCAAAAAACTTTGAGACCCCGCAGACACCGTGTGTGTGTGTGTGTGTGTGTGTGTGTGTATGTGTATATATATATATATATATATATATATATATATAAATAGTGCATTTGAACAAAATAGATTTATTAAATAATTAATTAAAATACTGTTTCAGTCACCAAACATCTTTAGAAATAGAATTTATTTAAATGTATGCGAAATATTGCAAAAGACTAAAAAAAACTAACTTTTTTTCTAGCTCTTTAAAAAATAAAATAAAATTTATATTTTCCCTAATGTATAAATAATTTTTGGACCGTTATTGTAAAGTAAATAGCCTTGCATGAACAAATTACCATTACCCTATCCTCACTGAAAGTCCCTCGACTCTACTTAAAGAAAATGAATACTTTAAAGGCCGATTTATACTTCTGCGTCAAGCGAACGCGTATGGTCTGGCGCAGCCTGCGTGCATTTGCATAGCCCACGTCGTGGCTGACGCGCACCTCTCAAAAAATGTAACTACAAACTCTGTGATTGGTCTGATTGGTACTGATGACAAGTGTGGGCCAGATGAAGCGAGCATTTACAAGTGTTGAGTCCTGTGAAGGAGCTCCAGATGGAAACTGTTGTTTTGTGTTTACCTTATGATTAATGTTGTTTCCGCATCTGAATGAGCGAGTTTTAGCTACTTGTAGCGTTTAGAAAAAACATCACCTAATGCCAGCTAGAGTTTTGGAAGTGTTTTTGCAGAGCAACACAAACAGCACACAGAAGTATGAATGCACTACTAAGTGCAAGGCATGCGCCGTGGGTCACGCAGATCACTCGACGTGGAAGTATAAACCAGCCTTAACACTTTTTACTTGCTTACAATACAATGAAGACTCACCCTGGTTTCTGACAGTTGCTAGAAGGACAATTGCTCTTCTCCGCGTCCCCACTCTCTGCAACAAACAACTTTGCAGATGCGTCTTCAGAGGTAGACTGTTTCTCTTCCTCACTACAGGATGATCAGAGAGGACAGCGTTTTAAAAAACAGCTTTCATTGCAGTTCGCTTACAGAATTAAAACCCCCACTTTAAACCCTTGGACAACACATGCAGAATGGAACGGACCACACTGAAAGCAACAGGGCAAAACCAAAAAAATAAATAAAAACATTGAAATAAATGTTCTGAAATGGGGTTTGGCGGACAATAAGATGTGAGCAGAACGACGAACAGAGACGGGAGTGACTATTAACCACACAACAAGTGGATTAGACGATGAGCTGCTTTAGTATGTGAGTGCGAAATGATGGTGAAAAGTCAAAGTCATGCCAGCAGTCTTCACTTTTTAGGATGGCATCAGTAAACCCATGAATTAGAGTTCGGTAGAAACTAGGGGTGCAATGGTACATATATTTGTATCAAACATTTTTTATATGAGCCTTTTGATTGTTATATTTTTTGTTATTGTTTTAGATCACTGTATGTGAAGAAATTAATCTGCTTGTACAATTGTGGACTCTAGTTTTCCTCATCTATATTGACATTGTTATTGTTTTCATTTAATAGTTTATTATTATTATTTTATTTGTTCTTAAAAAACAAAACTGATCATTTAGACTTCTGCTTTAGTTGATTCAAGAATAAAATATATACAAATAAAGCCTTGAAATTCAATATCAGCAAGCAGGTTTTTTTTGGATAGACTCTTTTAATAAGAAACAACCCTCACCTTTTAAATTACATCCATAATAAATTAGGATTAGTACTGGGCGATGTGGCCTTTTTAAAAAAAAATAAAAAAAATTTCACAAAAAATAGATTTGCTGTAAAATGTCAAACTGCTGTTGTGAATTGGATCTCTTTGCAATAAAAAAAGGTTCAATTATCCAGGGTTCATACACATTTTTACTACCAAAATTCCATTTTCCAGAACTTTCAAGTACATTTTCATGACAATGTTTCATGTTATGTCTACATAAACGTGGTAAATAATAAAACAATGACATTCAAATTTATTAAAGCATATCATAGAACATGCAACAATCTGTTTTGTGCAAATTAGTTTTTATGTGCATGTAAAATTTATTTTGATCTTGCTTACACAGCACTAACAATGTGAGAGCAAGTTTTTGGCCAAGGACAGAAAAGAAGACAACTAACCTATATTCAAGTTAAGGCTGCACAATATATCGTTTCAGCATCGATATCGCAATGTGTGCATCCGCAATAGTCACATCGCAGGATATGCAGTGTTGGGATTATAGTTTAATATAGAGTTTAATCATAATGGTGTAAAAGGTTATCATCTGCATGCATTTATCAAGAGATAACAAACACAAACAGAATAAAATTTAATAACTTCTGTAGTATTGAAACAAGAAGTGTGAGTACAATTTAATCTGAGGAAACTGTCCCTTTAAGGCCTGTGACTGTGTGAACATTTCAATATTTCAGAGATATTTTCAGAATTTTTTTGTAACTTTAATAAAAATTAAATATTATACAATGAAGACTATACAGTGCTGTACCTGAATAGTGAATACCTGAACACTATAATTCACTTTTATCTTTACTATATTTTATTGATCTATGCGTGTAATTTATTTGTTATATATTGTTCGAGATTCACTTCCCTACAGAATCCCCTTAATCAATCCAAATAAACCTGTCAAATCATCTGGTGAAATTGTATTCACATCGCAATATATATCACAGAAATACAAAATATCGTGATGTCAGATTTTTCCAATACTGCGCAGCCCTATTTCAAGTACACAGACATTTGTTAAACTAATTTCCAAGACTTTGTGGGTTTTTTTCTGTTTTCACAAAACTATTCCAGGCCTGGAAAATGCCATGTCAAAATTACATGACTTGGATGACCGTATGAACCCTGATTGTTGGTAATTGGGTGTCGGCCTGGTAGCTTTACTTAGAAATAGAAATGATGACCTTTTAAAATGATTTTAGACCTTCAATTCAATATTTCGGTAACTTTTTAAGGCCTAAAATTTTGTTTTTAAAATTTAGGACATTAAGACCCTGTAGACACTCTGTAAAATGACAAACACCTTTCAAACGACAACTTTATAACATGTCAGTGTTTATCTGACCATTTTATTAATACTTCTGTCATAATCTGAATGCGTGAAGGAAAAATAACAAAACTGATTGAAATGTCAACTGCTTTCTCAAGAGTAAAAACTTAACTAAAAGTTCACTAAAAGTTTAGTAAGCATGCTAATCACTAACATTTTAGAAAACTATGATCGCGTGAGAGACTAAATTGGGATCACAATCTTTAAACATTTAATCGTTCAGCTCCACAAGGTATATTCTAACGCCTATAGTAAAAACGATATCCTCCTCTGATGCCAGGAATATCATGTTATATTTCTGGAGCAGTGAAAGCCAACAGAGAAAAATATTTTATCCTTAATTTACCCCTGCAAAAGACTCGTAAAACCAAACCACAGTAGATGACGAGGAGAAATCCCTTTGTAAAATATGATCAGGAATCTTTGTGGATCACAATAAGCTACATTTAAGGATGCATGGGGGCATTTCATGCCGTTAACACCTGCACATCTGAGATTAACATGCAAATGGTGATGGATACATTGCGGTTTGAAAGAAAACAACAAACAAACATACGGACGGACGAACAAACAAAACATGGTTACAAACCAAAACGCAATGCCTGACATGGAGGGGGGGAGAAAAACCCAAACAAAAACAAGACACGCCCCCTGATTGGCTGTACATACCGATACGATTTCAACACTCTGAAGCCACACGCACGCCAAAGAGAGAGAGGAAGCTCATGTTGTAAGAGTTGCAGTTCAAGAAGGACAGTTTGTTCTTTTTTTTTGGGTTCTCAAACAGACAAAACAGATGTTACAAAGCTCTGCATCTTAACAGCCCCCGTTTAAAAGGAAAAACAAACAAATAAATAAAAAAAAGAGAGAGTTCCGGGGTCTGGCTGGCTGTAGGTGCAGGAGGAACAGGAGGATAACGTGACAGGGAAAGATCAGGTCTACATGCAGAGTGAAGTGAAGCTTGTGTCTCAAAGGGGAGGAAGAGGAAGTGATGTGTGGCACTGCATGAGTAAAAAGCTCTGGGACTCACCTTTTGAAAACAGCAGTTTCAGTTTTGGCGTCTACAGTAAGGCTGACCGTCTCCTTCATAGAGCCGTTGGTGACTGTTTCTGTGATGCGGTCACTGACAGGCTCTTCTTCGGGGTCAGAGGCGTCCCCTGTTTTCCCTCTGGGGGAAGTTGGAGTGGTCTCATTGGGAAGCCACTGATCTGTATCTGCACAATAAGATTGTTTATTCTAACATCTGTGCGAGTGTGTGTCGAAATTGAAATGAGGATGGTAAGAGTCTATTCTTACTTTCTTGCTGCATAGGCGCATTGACTCCCAGAGGGTCCACCGTCTCTATGCTGGTCTCCATGGCTACAGGGGAATTGCACCTCAAGGGATCCTTAGGGCTAATTAAAGGATGAAAATGAAATTAACGAACTTTCCACATTTACATGTTTAGAGCTGCATTACATATTTGGTATTGTGGGTACAAACAAGCTGTATCATAATGTCCAATAAACTACTTATATTTAAATTCAGCTTAAAATTATTTTATTTGTCAAAACAGCAAGTATAACAGCTTTTATGTCTTTCCTGTTCATTAAATGTGTCCAATTTGAACTTTTTGTTCTGAGCGAATTAAAATGGAAATGAATTTTGTTCTGAGCAAAGTAAAAAAAAAAAATTAACGACCATCAAAAATTTGACTGTAACAAGTCCCAAGAGTGTGTATGTGAAGTTTCAGTCCAAAATACCACACAAATAATGTTTTACAAATTGTTGAATCTGCCCCTTTTAGGCTTTGATGCTAATTGTCGTTTTGGTGACTGTCGCTTTAAACATCCCAAAAACTCTAAAGGCGGACAGCTGCTTCTCACTCAGGGCTGTCTATGATAATGAGGGAGGGATTGTCACTAATGGGCGGGGCTTTCCCCCTCTCCAATGACACATACAAAGTAGGGTTGCACAGTTTTACCGGTACTATGGTAGTATCGTGATACTACGGCTCCAAAACACTGGTGGTGCCACTTGTAGTTTTAAACGGTAGTATCATTATTAACAGTGTATCTACAATGCATAATGTTGCCTGTGGAAGTCACTAATTTGCTCACACGTTTGTGCAACAAAAATTTATTTTAATAGTCTGTGGAGCCCTCTAAGGTTGCAAAACGGTGTAGAATTTCCTATTTGTCAGTGAGATTTTTTTAAACCATCTAAAAATATAATATACAACAATCGAAGACTATATTCTTAACATCTAAAATGTACCACTTTTATTTGTATATCAAACATTCTATTGTAAATATAAATTTTAATATACAAGAAGAGAAAGGGTGAGCATTTTAAATGAAACCGTTACATAACCCAAATCTAGTTTATGGGTTATAAATATCAGCAATAATGATACCTGACAGGTGTGAAGCTGGAGAAGTCTGCCCAGCCCGTTTCTCCATCTCCAGAGGCGTTTGGAGAGCTCCAGCCTGTAGATTCAGGCACTGAAGCCGTTGAGTTAGACACTGGTGCGCTGGGAGCCGTGGAGCTGCCTGTGTCCATTGGGATGTCATCAAAATTTGCCGTCCATACCGTTCCTAAAATAAAGCAACAGAGAATAAGAACGTTTCATCCAAAGCAGTGTTTGCCAATTTCCAGTCCTCATGCATCAACGCTTCGCATATTTCAGGTTTTAAAAACTTTGACCATGAACTTCACAGCATATTCCACCATGATTCCAGTTCAAAGAGTGTGTGAACGTTTCATTTGACTGGCATTCTTGTGTGGTGTATGATTTTACGCTTCACACACTTATGTTATGCTTTAGATGGACATCAACACTCCCATTTAATGCGATTAAGACAGTAATCTGATTATAAGTCTTGCATGTAATAGATGTTCTTCGCTTGGTGATTTTAAAAAATCTAACTCATTTGATTTAACTACTACAATTACCATATTTGATCCATAACCCACAGAAGAAGAAAAAAGTAGTTAATAGCAACATTAAAAAAAACATGAAAATAAAAAGATATCAGCCTTTCAATTATTTTTTGCGACCTCTGGTGAGATTATATCATATTTAAGAGAAAGCACATTGATTTTATGGCATCAGGTTAAACTCTGACACCTTTACCGCACTCACATACAATAAAAATAAATACAAGCCACAACTGAACATGGAGGATGGTCTCCGAGTGGCGTTCTTCAAAATTAAATTATGAATAGACTTGGACCTATTGGTATACGTGCAAGGTTTATATATTTATAACCACCTCAGAAGATATTGGAGGTCTTGAGTAACTGGCATTGCTATTTTTGGGGTCGCAGGCTGAAAAGTTTGGGAACCCCTGGCCTAAAGAGTCATGCAAAATGTGTGGAGCAGTACAAGTTTTGAAATTTAAAAACTGAACGGCGACAAACATGGCAGCAAGCAGCTCCTCTCACCATCCCCAGAATCCACTTCCATTCTGTCATCTGAGGTGGCGTTTGTGGACTCGAATGGGTCTCGCTTCCCGTCCTCCTCCTCAGAGTCTGTACTCTCCTCGCTATCTGTACTTCCCGAGCTCCTGCATTTGAAGTCATGGTGAATGAAAACAAAAGGACTACATAAAGCTGTATTTGAAAAGATATTCAAATGGATACAATACCTGGGACGTCGCGGAGCTTCGGGGGCGAAAGTGACATCTTTCTCATCCCAAATATCCTCCTCATCTGAGCCGGCATCTTCAAACTGCTGGATCTTTTCCTTACAGCAAGCCTCAAAGAGCGCCACGTTTGCCTGTGGGCACAGCAGGAGCAAACTATGAAGACACGTCATGAGCTTTCTAATCAAATCAGCTCATTTGTTCAAAAATAAATAAATAAATAAATTGCATACTTACACTTTCATTTGTATTCAAGGAAAAATTGATGTCTGATATTCTATCAAAGGGAATACTGCAAAGTTAACAAGAACAGACGTTAGTTTTCTAGTATCTAGAGGAAAACAACAGCTTAAATGTAACAAAATCCATCACCTTAAAGAAAGAAAAGAAGAGCCAATTTAAACAGTCACCAAGTACACCAACTCAGATAATCAGAAACGAAAACATTTAAGTGATCAGATTTAATTTCAACCGTATGATCCATGATTTAACACACATACACACACAAAAAACCCCAACATAAGCCCCAGTACTAATGCTAACCCCCTCCCAAATTGATTGGTTCCCAGCAACAACAAAAAAATGGCGGTAAATCTGAAAAGCGTCATGCACGATGGGTACTTACTCCCCGACATCGTCCTGATCGGCAAACTCTTCGTCATTGAAGCCAAACTGCTCAATAAAATTGGACGTCATTTGTTGCATCTGATAATCAGAAAAGGCCTGGCAAACCCAGGACCAATGATAATGATATAGTCTTGACACTACAAAGAAGCTTCATGTCAAATCAGCTGATAAGCGTCGAAAAGCTATTTATACATGCAATAAAGATTTAAATTAGCTTTACTGGACGTTTCTTGTCATTAGCTCTGATGTTACAATTAAAAGCAGCCTGTGAGCTCATCCAGGCACAGACTTACTTGCTGTAAAGAGGAGTCCTGATGAAACCCACTGTCTTTGAAATCGACTTCATCGTCGCTAGATGAGTGTATGTGGTGTGTGTTGACCTGAGAGATTAGAGAAAAAGCAATGATAACTTTCAGAAGTTACATTTACTTGAGAAGAATCATTTGAGACAGAAGTGTGTTTTTTTTTTTGGTATGCAAACTTAACCATAATTTCTGAAGAAATACAAGTACAAAAAATGTTTTCTTGTATCTAGTAAAAGTTTTGGGGAATTTTGGATCTAGGTATGAGCAAAAGTAATATTATAAATCAACAAAATTTGGATAGTTTGTAGATAAACATATCTCTTTATCCATTGACTTTACTGCAGCATTAACAAAAGTGCCAATTCATCATCTTTCAACACTGAAATTGCTTTTAAATTTACTCGATGCAAAGTTTCCAATCAATGAAGTCCAAAATATCCTAATATATAAATGTTAATTATTTTATTTGGGTGTAAACAAACCCAAAAAGCAAAACTAGCATACAGATTTTTAACATTATGAGATTTAAGCATCCTAAAACAAATGGAGCCATTACAGAACAAACCACTTACTAAATCTACAGTGTTTTTCTTGTTTGTATCTGCTAGCTGTCCTGAAGTAAAGGCTTCCCATCGTTCCCTGTCCTCCTCTGGAAGCTCTGCAAGTCAGAAAACAGAAGTGAAAACGGTCCTTGAATTAATGAAAATAAATAAATAAAATAAATAAATAAAAATCATGAAACAAACGTTAATGCAGTTATGCTGTGTTCACACCAGAAGTGGCATGTGCAAATAAATCTCAGTATTCTCGAGTAAAAATCAAGTTTACTCCTTTCATTCACGTGTCAAATTTGCATGAAAAATTTACTTCACAATAGACGTCGATTCACGTCGTGGACGGGGGTCCAGTCTGCCCGGTGACTAGTTTTATTGCTAAATGGCTAACATGGATTTTATTAGCTGTGCTTTATGGGCTATAGGAAGGCTGAAAACAGTGTAGATTAATTCGGTGCAATGTCTTAAGTCCATTAGATCTTTTCAGAAGTGTACCCAGCTCTGTCAGTTCATTAACTCCTCTAGAAATGGTCAGTGGATGATGAAGCTTTCAGCTAGGGTTGGGCCAATAGACGATGCCATCGTCCATCACCGATGGCTAATAGACAACACTATGCTGAGCCGGCATTGCCGATGCTCCGCCCCACCCCCCACTCGCGAAAAAATACACACTCAGGCCTCGTTTACACTAGTACGTCTTAGTGCTAAAATGGCAATTTAGAACAAAAAGGATCCACATCCACACCATGTTTTACCTAGCATTTCTGAACAGCACTCTGTCCGCTGAAAACGCACATCACGTGACCCCACACACAAAAAGACACAAGTGGTGCTCCCCACACACACACACACACACACACACACACACACACACACACGCACGCACGCACGCACGCGCATGCTCCTCAGAGCTCCAGAGACAGAGAGCAGTGCACGTCTTTTATCAAGGTTGTACTGCTGGATCGCGTCTCACTACAGTTGTTAAACGTGATATTCAGTCATCCTTAATCTCCCTGAAGTTCCGGGAGTCTCTGCATTTGCGGTATTCATAATGCCCGCAAACGAGTGATAATCTCCCGAAAAATCGCACGTCTCCCTCCCAGTCCTCAATTATATCACGCACCCTTCTCACCCCAAATCCTTCGTCACGCACAGTCCATCAACAAATATTCATTTGGATTTTATTTTAACATCAGAATAAAAAAAAAAGGACTTATTGTCTTTATATCATCCCAGTACGACAGTGGACACACTATACCTACACACAGTTCTGTCCAAACAGCTTCCAAAAGTAGATTTTCATCATAGGTGCCCTTTAACATGTAAAACACTCCACATCTGGTGTGAACGCACCAATAGACAGACCTGAGATGAGCTGCTGAATTTGTGACCCATTGGGGCCCTTGTCACTGTTGTGCACTATAGAATTTGCTATTCTGGTCAGGTGACCCATGTAACCTCTCCGTCGCCCACCCTCAGTCCTGATTGGAGAAAAACAAATAAATATGAAGGATTCATTAAAGACTTCATCATACAAGACCAGGTGTACAAAATAGGATGGTTCCTTTTAAATTAAACATAACCGACCAATCAGATTTAAGAGTTACTCACTGCTCCTTGTCGTTTGATCCCCAGGCATCAAGAATTCTTTGTATTAACTGGCACTTCTGAAAGAGCTGCGGGTCAGAACAGAGAAGATTGCATTAAAGTTTAATGTGCGATGCTAACAGCTTTGGGTTTCAAACAGCGGGAACAGATGATGAACTCACATGTTTGATAAGGATGTTTTCTCGTATGGGCTCTTGGTCGTTTTCTCTGTTGATTTCGGGAGATTCACTTTGGGTTGAAGGCATCGCTAAGACCATCGCTGTACAGATTTCTACTTGTGTGTGCAGGAAATTATTCCATAAGTATTTAAAGTACATGTCCTGTAGATTAAAAAAAAAGTCAAGTATGTGATGTGCACGAAAATATAGGCAACAAAATAATTAGATGCTTACTTAATTGCTGTTTTCATTTTTTATTGTGTTTTTGAAAAACCATGGCTAACCACTAGTTTTTCCACACTGCAAACATTACACAGAACTCTCAAAACACTCACTAGTATGACTCCCAATGTGTTGAGGGCGATGAGCTCCTGGTTGATGATATGCGTGTTGGTCTGTAGAAGGCTGGTCACTAGTCGCACCACATTAAGACGAGTATTTCCCACTGGTGGATCCAACACTCCCCATGTGGTGTTCAAGACAGTTTTCTGATTAAAAAAAAAAAAAAGATACATAAAACAGCAAAGTTCATTTGACCTTGAGGAAACATAAAAAAGCTGAACATTAAAATCTACACTTTATAATATTGTGGTGTTTATGTTTATTGGCATACTAGCTGCACTGGCTATTACAAAGTAGATGTATAGTAGAGCAGCACAATATATTACAGTTTCAATATCGATATCGCAAAGTGCGCATCCATAATAGTCACACTGCAAGATATGCAATGTTGAGTCGGAATCATAGTTGACCAGAACACAACACGTGATATGTAGAGTCACTGCTAACTTTAACAATAATAAAGTGGAAGTTTATCGTTTGCATGCGTTTTTAAGGCCTGTGACTGGGCATATCTGGTTTAACCTCTCTTATAATGCTTAAACTAGAGCCTTAGTTGGTCCATTGTAACCTTTGATTTGGCCACCATCCCATTTGAGAAGAGAGTAAGAATGATGGGCAGGGTTGAGGCGAATGATTTTAATAAAGATTATCATTGTCATTTAAAATATCTTTGTTTGTTTTATTGTTAAGCTACAAAAAAAGCCAACTGAATTCAAAGGTTTCATTTAAATGTTAATTGCAAATACGTAGATAGATACTTTGTAAAAATGTATATACAGCTGTCACTCAACAGATAGCGGGCAATGCAGAAGACATCTACGAGCAAATCAAGGTAAAATCAGGTGCTGCTTGACTAGTGTAACTCTATTCTGTTCTAAATGTGATTGATTTTACTGTAATAAGTTTAATATAAAACTTAAATGTACACTGTATTATTTAACACAAAGCTATGGTTTCTAGTTAAATATTTAGTGAAATATTTTGGTTTTTGGCCCTTTATAAATAAAAGTTTGGGCACCCCTGGGTGAAACCATTTGGGCAGAAAAAAATGATGATGTTTGGAGGTGTAACAAAGATTAATTGCATTTAATTATTTATAGAATTTATGCAAAAAATAAATAAAATAAATCTTACTTATAGTTTCAGTCTTATTTCCAGTCTAAATATCTACATCTACAAAAATACGATTACTTTACATAGCCAATTGGCCGATAATATTGCTTGTTAAGGAAGAGTCTTAATTTTGTCAAATTTCTCTAAAAATTAAAACAAATAAATATTTTTACCTTTTGATTTTTAGATATCTGGACTAAAATGAGATCCGAGAAGAAGAAGAAAAAAAAAGCGTTTTTTGCATTGCGATTATTCCATTTCAGTACATGAATGCTGTTAGACTCTCTAGAAAACTGTCAAATAGAACTATTCAAGCCATTTTATTAAATTTTTTCATATCGCAATATTTATTGAGGAAAAATAAATGTATGAGATTATTTCAACATCATATAGCTTTAATGTATAGAAGGGGTTGAACAACTTCAGATTTTTGAAAGTCGACTTATGTTATTAAAGTCGAATTGACGTCGACTAGTCACTGGTGACGTCATCAAAAAAACACGAGACGCAAATGTTTTGCAACATGCCAAAATTTGCTATGTATTTACAGGAAATACATATACACATGCTCTTTGACAGTTCATACCATGTTACAAAAACAATACATCATTACCAATGATCACTTTTAGTAGAAAACGAATGCACTGTAAACACAGCCTATTTCATTAATAACAACATTTGCATGTGGCCTAATTTTAGTGCAAAATAATTGCAGTCAACACATTGATCATGTCTCGTACTAATAAAAATGTAACAATAACAGATATATTAAGTACAAAATAATGCAAATATCTCATCAACAGGCAATCCCATTACTGTTCTAGTGTGTCTTAAACATGTTCAGCTATAACCTGTTCAAGGGTATTTGCATGGCGCAATCTAATTGGCATACACCTGTTTTAAAAATACAACTATTTTAAAGAAAGCTGAAAACCTGTAACCTCTTCCATAGTAGAAAAAAAAACAAACAATGGAAGTCAATAGTTGCAGGTTTTCAGCATTTTTCAAAGTTTCTTTTGTGTTTAACAGAAATAAGAAACAGGTAAAGGATGAGTAAACTATGACAATATTCATTTTAAGCGAACTATCCCTTTAAATAAATTTAAAGGGTTTTCTGAGTACATAAATACATCTTTAAATGTATTTAAGCTATGCACGCAAGACAAGCTGTTCTTTGAAAGGGTCCAAGACTCTGCCAGGTTATATTAGCACAGGCACAAAGTCTCGTTGTGCAGAGCTTAATGTAATTAGGAATTCGGAGATTACGTTCTAAGTGAGGTCAGCTGATATAATGTGCTAAAGTTTCGCCCGAACACATTTCGCAGTGTTTTCCCGCTCACCTTTGGGGGTTCGAGCAAAAGCTGGTGAAAATCTTTAAGTCTGGGTCTGACGGCATCTAGAATGCTCTGATTGACGGAGAACGACGGATGGTTCATTCCAGGGGGGCAAATTTCCAGATGGCCTTCAAATCTGAAAGAGAAAACTGAAGATTATGACATGAACACAGACCCAAGAAACCTGGGGGGAGAGAGAAGGAAAAAAAAGACTGCACTTACGCTGGTCTCCGTGTTTCAAAGAGGGTTAGAAGAATCTGAATTACACTGACTATGGCAGACTCGTTCTTCTCTTTGTCAAAGATGTTTGACAGCAACTGCTCTACTGTCTCTTGCCTGAATAGGAAGACAAACGGTCAATTCAGAACTTAAGCATTAGCCTGAAACTAGAGCTCAACCTTAATCCCTCCAAAAATGCCAGTTTGTGAAGTCACTAGAAAGACTGTTATAGAAACTGAGCAACTCACTTCTCTAGAGTGGCCAGCAGGGGATCAGGCTCCGAGCTGCCCTGGACCTGGAACATTTGATCTCTGCTCAGCCGAATGATCTCACATAGCGACTGGGACGCGTTTGAGTGTCTCTACGTGAAGGGAACAAGCAATTATTGTTACACGGCTAGCGAGCAGGGACAGCTTACCAGGATAGAACAATAGGGGACGGTCAGCCGTGCAACAATAGGAATACAACGATTAATATTACAGAAACTATTATAATTAATACTTGGTACTATTTGTATTTAAAAAAAAAAAAAAAAACTTTTAAAAATAAAGAATGTATTCACAAGATTACAGTCACAGCCAAAATCATTCATACCCTTGGCAAATTCTGACTTAATGTTACTTTTATTGATGGAAAACGACACGGGCTTCTCCCAAAAAGACAATAAGATGATGTACAAGAGGCATCATCGTGGGAAAAATATTATTTCTCAGCTTTAATTTATATTTGAACTGAAGCAGAGATAACAAATCACACACACGCTTTGGTCATGTTCTAAAATTACCACATTCTGGCAATTATTATTACATAAGCATTGTTTTTTTTTTAATATTCATCAAATGCCTTAAGGTTTTATTCATAAATATAAATAACTACATAATAACATCTTTTCTATACATTTATCAATTAATATTAGATTATTCATAACTAGATTTTTTTTCTTATAGATAGAAACACTTCCAATAACATTTTATTTTTTAATTTATAATTAAAAACACCCCACAACATAGATGCTCCATAAAATATACAAACAAAAAGTGATTGATTGTTTGAATGAACTTACATCCTCATCTTGTGATGGCTGTACCATATCAACCAGCCGCTGTATAACTTTCTCTTCATTTAGCCACTGCAGAAGAACAAATGAAGAGGACACTGTGAGATGCTGTTACAATGACAGTTAGTGGATTACATAAATAATCAGAGATTTCATTCAAATGAAACACGTCAATATTTACAAAACAAAAACACCAAACCCCTGTACCACAACAAGACCGACACACCTTTACAGCAAGCTTACAAATACTTATTAGGGGTAGAAGAACTCACATTTAATACATCTTGTCTAAGCTGCTGTGGCTCAATGCAGGTGAGCATCCTGAGCAGGAGGTCCATAATAGCCGAGGTCCCTATGTGTTTGATCATCAGATCCACAAAGTCTTCCCTCTTCCTGAGGAACTCCACGATCTAGCAGCAAACATCAGATTTAGCTCAACTTGATGCAGTTATGGGCTTGTTTATACCAGACACTAAGATTTTTCATAAACCTTATTACAAGTGGACAATAGACATGGGATAACCATTTCAAGGTATCCTTGTATATAAAACAAGATATAAAATATGTGTTCAAACAAAGGGGAAAAAAGCTTTTGTTTTTTGGCCAGACATTTAAAAAGAATATATTTTAGAGCAGTATAATCACAATACTGTGAAACAGTACATTTTTATACAAGGTTATCATACTGACAAATTCTTACAGCGGCCCATGCCTAGTGGACAAAGCTTAATGGAGAGAGAAACCACATCCAGAGGTGCTCAAAACTGCATTAGACCAGATTGCTTTGGTCAAATGCATTTAAATAGGTACAAAACATCTAATAATAATTTAAATATACTGACCAAACACATGGTTGTGCTCGCAAGACATTCATGTTAATACAAAGTAAAAAGAGTGTACATATTAGGCCCTCCAGGATTCTGTAAATGCTGATTATAAACTCAAAATTAGGCTAATTTTGCAAACTTTGTGGAGCTTGCAAATTGTTTTTAACTGCTGCAGACTTCTTACAATTTTTGTGCAGTCATGGCTTCGTTCAAATGATGCCAAAAAGCACCATCTGCATAACTGTATATTATTGTAAATATTGTAAATATTCATTTAATGTGCCAAACCATCAGGTTGTCAATACACACTTCTGCAATGTGCATTATGAAATTATCGGCACACACATTCAAAGCCTGTTTGTACTAGCCCACATGAGTTGTCAATTGCTAAACTTCTATATATTGTATATATCCAGCTTTCATCATAGGTGTAGCCTCCACTCTCACATTTCAACTAATAAGCATGTAAACGCATAAGAGTGCAAGCTCTGCATCATTTCCATTAATGTGTTCAAATAGCGGTAAAAAAAAAAAAGTAAAAACTTTGTTATTTATTTATTTTGTAATTATCTTATAATAATTTTATACTTTCTCTTTTGCTCTCATTGTCCGTGTACACCTTGCTTCAATTTTTCATTTTTGGCTTAGCCAGTTCCAAATTATGATTGTAAATGTTACTCATGTATAATATGCCTTTTATTTTATTTTATTATGAACATAAACATTTTTATCAATGTTAAGAGTGGTGGTTTGAGAGGTAGAGTTTTGAGTACCTTTTTGTAGTAAGCTAATCTCACTGTGATAGAGTACTTCCAACAGAACTGATATATGGTCAATTTTTTTCTTGTCAGGATTTGAGCGGTACTGTATGTATGTAGGTTTTTTTCTCAATGAAAAAAAAAAAGGGTTATAAAAAATAAATAAATTGCTGCCAAAAAAATAGACTACTTAGCATTTATTTTCAAACAATTGGTTTAATTTTCCAATATGATAGAGCAGGCTTTAGTTCGCTCAGTGTTTCCGTTATATATAAAAGAGATCAATGGTTCTTGAAGGTCAAAAAAAAAAAGGATTAATTTAGATGTGCAAATTTGTGTATATTTTCACAGCAAAACTATAATAAATTTATTATTAAAGGCATTTTTTTTTTTTGGAAAAATCAGAGTCATTTTAGTCACAAAAAAATTTTTTTTGGTCACAAAATTCTGGAGGGACTGGCATAACCTGTCTGGGCACGCACCTGCTCTGGTTTTCTCCCAATAAGTATGCTCAAGACTTTGCTGAAGAAACTGGCCAGCAGTGGGTTGAGCGGAGGCTCGTTCTGTAAGAAGCTGTAGAGTTTCATCAGTAAACTTTCATCTTCACCCAGCCTATCGTTGATCTGGCCAACGTCTGAGGTCAGGAGTTCACAGGATATGTTGGGATACCTTTAACACAACAATCCAAAACAACAATTAATAAATCTCACATGCTTCAAATTAGACAACAAACTAGGGCTGCACAATATATCCTTTCAGCATCGATATCGCAATGGTCACACTGCAGGATATGCAATGTTGAGCTTGTACTATAATTTAACAGTTGCATGTGTTTTTGAAGCCTGTGATTGTATAAAGATTAAAAAATTCTATCATTTTTAACGTTAATAACGAGTAATCTTATTTTCAATTACTGTACCTGAATACTGATAGACTTGGAGAACGATAAAACAGTTTATTTCAACTGTATCTTTTTCTTTATTGGATTCATAGTTTGCTTATTAGATTTTATGCAGATGCACTCCCACTGCATAATCAACCTTTCATAATAAATTCTTTTTGAATAGAGATATTAAGTCATCTGGTGAAATTGTATTCATGTCGCAGAATAAAAAAAGCGCCGCAATGTTCGAATTTACGCAGCCTTACAACGAACAGTCCAGATACTAACTTATATTTGATCTTCTCCTCCACGTCATCGTTCGGCTCCTGGGTGATGTAGACCACCAGATCCTCCATGCACTGCGGCCTCACCAGGAAGTCCACGAGCTTGTGGTTCTGAGCCTTGCACTCTTGCAGGACGTCCTCCTCGTCCATCACCTCGGTCAGAGTAACGTCATCCTTCTCCAGAAGCGTGTCGATGTGGGACGTCGAGTGCAGATCAAACTTCCAAAACATGGTGCTGCTGAAGAATGCAGAAATGCGAGTGGGTGGCTTTCAGATGCAGGAAGTAAGAGTGAAACAGAGTTGTGCTCATGCATTTGAGTATTCTAATAACTACCCCATAGGCTTTACCTGAGCGTAGCAGAGTAAAAACTCTGATTAAAAATAAAATAATGCTTGTGCTCTTTGGGACTTCTGGCCCATTACAGGCACCACAGGCGGTAGAAACTGGACAGACCTTTGAGTAAAGGACACATGCAGCAGGAATGTCCTCTGCCACAGCAAATACACTCAACACACACCTGAAAAAGAGAACAGACAAAAAGGACATTATACTCGAGTAAATGCCTTTGAAAGAACAGTCAAATGTGTCTCCTTTAACTCAAACAATCAAAGGTTAGTCATCAGCTTTGGAGCAATTCCATGCAAATGTCAATCTTGCTATGAAAAAAAAAAAAGTTTTCACCAAAATAGCGAAACCCTTTTCAAGTTTTTTTGTGTGGGCTTGTATTTTACAGTAGAGCGAAAATAAACGTCTCTGTCAAATTTTTTAAACAATTATATTTGATTTACCAGAGTCACAAAAGTGGCAATTTCACATTTGTCACATCCATAACAAAGATTTTTCCTAATAATTGCAAAAAAGTCAAATAAAATACAATCAATCATGTTTGTTCTATAAAGGACCAACTCTTATTCTTTTGATTAGCATTATGTATTTTGGATAGTGCAGTTTAATTCACAAAATTTCTACAAAGTATGTTGTGTACTGCAAACTTTTTTAGTCACATTTATAAACTAAAACATATAGAGGTAGTATCTGTGATGTAGGGCTGGGCAATTTGGCAATAAAAAAAAATCTAGTTTTTTTTTTTATAAAGTTTGACCGATTCACGATTCAGATTTTTTTTTTTTTTTATTGTGTTACTAGTCTTCTCAAAACATTACAACATGACTGAAGTAAAACTCTCTTTAAAAGTAACTTGAAAAATCATCTGGTTAAGGAACATTGTATTTTTAATGGCCATGTCATACAAAAATCGGTCAAGGTGTAAATAAATGTAAAACAAATTTACGAGTTAAATAGCGTTGCTGAAGATTTGAACAAGAAATATTTGAGTAAATATTGCAGTTGCAGGAATACAGAGGTATTGTTTGCAAGTTTTGCTGAGCCTAGGAAAGATTGGCTGTCAGCTCGGCTTTGACTTTGTCTTCTTCTGAATGTCAGGTTGTAATGCTGCTGCCTTTAAATTAAAAAGATACAGTGGAAGAAAAGGACTGAACATGGAAACTGTAAAGCCTAATTTAACCCAATGCGTGAAGTTGTGGACGTATAGCAGGAGCAAATACAAGTACCAGATGTGTGTCTAATATAAATTAATACAGTTAATCTATTTTTCTTTTTTCCCCTTTTAAATACCGATCCTTTGATGCGCTTTGCTCCACTCTCTGTATTATGCTGCCTGATTTGTCTGGTTTTCAACTAGGTCCGCTAAATGATGTCATGGGGGCGGGTACTTTCATTTCACTGCTACAGGCCCTCACCTCAACTCGTGTTCAAACCATAGGTTCAAACCAAAAGATCGGCGCAGTTTTTCACATGGCAGGCTTTTACGTCGTTCATACATGTTGAGATCGAGTTTATCGACTTGATGAGGGAATGTCTTGACAATCCACACAGACGTGACTCAGACTAATGCAACAAGTGAAATCCTACATGACTTCACGCTTTAACAGGCAGTCAAGCAGGTTGCACACCAGAAGCGCCGCGACACGGCGCGGACATTACAGTTCAAACTATCACACACCTAACGGCACATTCTCATGATATTTAACATGAAACTAATCAGATGGCACCTGTGTCCTGAATCGTGGCTGGGCGGCGCCGGTGTGTGTATAGAAACCTGTTTAGAATTCTAAAATCCATGGCGCTGCGCGGCGCCGAGAGGCGCTTCTGGTGTGCTTCCTGCTTCATAGAGTGAACCAAAGTGCATTGGTCCATTATAATGTATTAAATATATATATATATATATATATATATATATATATATATATATATATATATATATATATATATATATATATATTTAAAAATCACGCTTTCTCGATTTAATTCAAAATTAAATCATCTTAAAAAGTAAATTCGAAAAAAATTAGAAAAATCGCCCAGCCCTACTGTGATGTCACCCGTAGATTTCTGAAGAGCGCAAATTAAGCTACAAGTAGGCGTGGCCAACTGTCATCATTATGTTTGCATGTCATCGCATGACCTGGGCTGACCAAAAAAGGGCAAAGAGGCGGAGCATAACATTTTGCTTAGACAGGCTTTTTTTTTTTTTAAGGAGAAATGCTTAATACTTCTCTACCTGCAACTCTTGTGTTCTGACCACATGTGCTGGGTTTTATATCAATAAAGCATTGTTTTCATGACGTGTTTTTCTACAGGAGGAAAACACGAATAACTCCCAAATACTTCAAACATAGTCCGTGTTAGTAAAAGCAAGGCTATGAATTCCAGGCATAACCGGCGAGGCCTAGCTGACACTCAAGTGGCTACGCCCTTAATTATGCAGACTTAATTAAAACTAAACGAATGAGTTCGAAATAAATTCACCACCTCACAGATGTCATAAAGGATAATATTAACAATATGCACCAAAACCATCTTTTGTACCAGGCTGTAAACATGTTTTTATCAGCTGTAAAATTGGCTAATTTAGCATTGCAGTCAGTGAATATCTGGACTTCCTGGAGCCTGCCCCCAAAGGAGAGTTGATGAATTGCAGTTTCAGTTACTTCCATATTGGCTTCACGAGGAAGAGCAGGAGGGTGCCGCTTGATCACATCCATGACGCATGTTTATTTTCATTTTTAAAAATATCAAATGTTTACAAATCAACATTTTTCTGATCCTTTGACTTTCTTTTCAGTAGTTTTAGAAAATATAAACAGGTGTTTCAATATAATGTTAACGCATACTGTCTCTGTGAATTTATGTTTTAAATTATTACTGCAAATGTCACAACCATAATGCTGGAGTTGCTCTTTGCTAACAGCTATTTTTAGTCACAGGCATGGCATTAAAAAAAAAACAAATAACAGAAGAACGAGATTATTTTCCTGTTTGTCATGCTCTTAAATGCTCAAAATTTAAACAAACAACCTCCAAATGTTAAATCTATTCTAACTCTATAAAGAGCATGATTTCATACAGAAACAGTGCACAAAAATGGCACTGACAAAACAAACAGTAGTTTTGTTTGTGGGGACACTGTATAAAAGGCAGCTGAGAAAACCAAACAAGTTCCTTGTTGTGACAACTTAGCAACTGAAAAAAAGAAAAGAAATACAGCTTCACTTTTACCAGACTACCTCTTTTAAATATTTTGTAATGATTACTATCTCAATCTGTACATGACGTTGCAGTTTCATTTTCCTTTTAGTAAGCGGTTCTTTCAAGAAATGTACATGTGATGTAATGCCTGAAATTAAATGATACCAGATTAAATGCAAAAGTCCATTTGACAGCTCTGGCATCGTATTATTATAGCTGGAGACAGCAGCACGCAGCGATGCATTATTAAAGATCGAGACGAGAGACTGTTTTTCCAGTCTACAAGGTGGATGGACTCGCACCACTGAGGTGAAAGGTTACAAAACGCAGGCAAGCAGCCATCTTGACTTTCATGAATGGCTAAGAGGAAGGAAAGGCTTATTAATAGATTAAGGGGGTTGGGTTAGGTTTACCCAAAAGAGCTTTGACATTGGCCTCCATCCATTCCCCAGCAAACATGTGTTGTCATTTTTTACAGATTTTAAAAACACTGATAAAACATTTTAGGATTTTTTTCAAAAAAAAAAAAAAAAAAAAAAACTGAAAGAAAAAGCTAAATGTGATATTGACATCACAAGTGAATTACCACACACAACTCACGATTTCCTGAAACAGTCACGTTTTAGTATTATTAGTAGCAGGTTCATTTGTGCTAGAATATCAAGCAGTTCTAGTAAACTCAGCTGTACGCACAGACGTAGAAAAGGGATTTAAGCATCAGAATAAGTGTAATCAATCTTTACTTTTTCCACACATGGGGTTTAAAAATGGGTCACATTTCACTTTTTCCCCTATAATGACTATCCTACATTGTTATCATGATTTAAAGGAGATAGAAAAACTTTAAGCATAGCAACAGTTCAAAATATCCAAAATATCTTGCAAAACACAATAAAAAACTGACACATTATATGACTATTAAAAAGAAAAAGATCAGGCAAAAACATTAAATATTTATAGTTTGCCATTAGCTTTCTAAACACTAAATTTGTTCGAAGAAAGAAGTTATTCATTTAATGCATATTATAATTTAGCATAATCACTTGTACATCTGAATATATATGGGCTGTTTATTTATTTTTATAAAAATATTTTATACTGCATGAGCATACTAAAGTAAAACATTACTTTTGTAAATTAGATGCCAAAATGGGGTGTCCCGTCTTTTATCTATATACAAATAATGAATGCTATTTAAAGTATTTTCAAATACATCAAATGACCTTCACAGATACTGGACGTTTCTACTATTTTAACCCTTTAACTACCTAATTGCAATACTAAATGTTTGTATTGCATTTCTTAACTCGTAATGTTGCTAGTTAACACACTCAATGCATTTTGTTTTCATGACATCCAATAATTTCTAAAATATTAACCTCTGCCAAATGGTTGACACGTCGATTTATGGTAAAAGTTCCAGAATGAATACATATACTATAAAAATCTGAAAATATGAAGTGTACAGACCAATTTATTCAAAAACAATCAAAATAAAACAGTTTAGAATCCTAAATCACCTTTATTTTTACAAATTCCATAAAGTATGTCAGATTCTCATATTACACATTTTTTTGTTTGTTTGTTTTTACAATAAAATCACAATAAAGTGTAGTAATGCAATAGGATTATGTGTGTTTGATTTTTTTGTGAACCATCAATGCAGTGTGTAAACAATTATTTAAAACAGTCATTCTATAAATGCCTTGAACAGTCATTATTTGAAACAGTCAAAATATTGCAGTAAGGCAATATTTAGTGTAGAGTGGCAAATAGAGTGAGTCAAAGAGTTAAGAATTATTATTATTTATTTTTTCACAAAAACATAACATGTTCAATGCTGATACATGCACCAAATCGGCTTATTAGAATGATTTCTGTACAATCATGTGACCATAAAGACTGTAATAATGGTGCTAAAAATTTAGCTTAAAAATGTAACTGCCTGTTCTACCAAATGGTTGACCATATTCTGACAGTTTTAAATAATGGTTTACACTGCACAGCATTGTTGATTTACAAATAAATCAAACAAAGATAATCCTGTTGCACTACTACACTTGATTTTGGTTTTATTCTAAAAAAAAAAAAGAAGAAAAAAAAGAAAATGTGAATCTGAAATATTTTAATGGCATGCTTTAAAAAATAAAGGTGATTTAGTATTCAAAAATGTTTTATTTTGATTCTATTTTAAAATAAATTGGTCTATACACTATATTTTTCATAGCATATGTATTAATTCCGATACTTTTAACAAACCGCCATATCGACCATTTGGTAAAGGTTGATATTTTAAAAATTATGAGATGTGTTGAAAAAAAATGCATTGAGTGTTTTAACTAGCAACATTAGGAGTTAAGTGTTTCAAAGTTAAATGTTTATCTTGGTTGGGTTAGTTAAAGGGTTAAATCGTTATATAAAAAGTGATCCTATTGCAAGTCCTATTATTTTCCTTTAATACACTTCTTTGTATTATTAATCAAATAAATGCAGCATAGACCAAAAAAGGCAACTTTCCGAAATTGTAGACACTTAATAGTTAAATGAAAGTCCCGAAAATTACAATGTTGACATATAAAAATAGCATAAGTGACAAGCATCAATTACAGTGCATGAAAGTGACAGATCTGTAAATGATTATCAGCAGCACATCCTCTGATACTGAACTCGCTAGTCAGGACAGTGACGCATGTAGCACGACGAGTTTTAAATAAATGTGCAGCGGTGAACCAGACAGCTCTTATTTAATTGTATAGATGAACTACACCGCAGCATCTGAGACTATATTTATGCCAATTTAATGGTACACGAAAATGCATAAAAGCATCAAGCACATAATATACTTCTGACCTAGACTATTTATCTTTAGAGTACGGAAATTTGTCACGTAATGCGTTCAGTTGTCGGGAATATGTAGATATTTGCATTAAACCTAAACTTGTATTTTCACCATGAGATGACAATTTCTGCTACAGATTTGCTAGTCTCATACTTTATCAAAAAGCTGTGTATTTATTGCCGTTCAAATCTTTTCAGGTTCACTTCCACCAACTTTATCCTGTGCAAAAAGGTCGAAGAACAACAAACTGACATTAGATCACCTGTACCATTCAGCTTGAGTAACTCTGTGCTGAAGAAAATCCTCGTGACTCCCTCTCTGGGGCTATAAAAAGGGTTGCCAAACCTCTCCAGCATCCCAGAGGCCACAACAACAACCACCACCACCACAAGTCCTCCGGTTGCACTCAAAATCAAGTCTGAAAAGATGATCTGCCTCAGTGCACTAGAAAAATGTGCTGCCATGTCAAAACAACTAAGACTGTTTACAAGGGTGAGCGTGATAACAGAAGCCAATCCCTAACGTAGTTACTTATAAGACAAAAAGACATGAGCCAAATAACACAGACCTGTGATCTGCACATATCGAACAGAGCATGAGGGTTGCGTTCAAAATGTCCACTAAAACGCATGTTAACTCTTAACCCTTCAGAAAAATCCTAAATGATCAATAAGAAAGAACTAGTGACGTTTAATAATGAGGCCAATATAAACACTGGGTCCTAAATATAATTTAAAAGGGGCTTTCATCTGTGCATCAAATACTAGTGAGCTGTCTGCCTAGACAGCACTTTGGGGAAAGCAAGTTCAGTAGAAACATTCCAATGGGACTTTCATAAGAGGTTTGCTTACCGCAAAGTGTTGTCTAGGTGGACAGCTCACTGGCTTATGACACACAACCTTTGTGTCTCACTTTCTGAAGTTTTTCAGCATGTCGGGGCCCGGCTTTGGCCGACACTGAGCTTCCGCCGGGAAGATAATACATATTTGAAACTTTTATAGACCCCGGGTGGGTTTAAATATGCCGTACACATCTTAAATGTGAGCATTATTTAGACAAATAAGACTAAAGTGTTGAAAATACAACCCATTCTGACTCGGCAAAACAGAGAAGTGCAGCTGGCTAATGCTAAGCTAACAGAGACACACATAACACAAATACGTACCGATTAAGAAAGCGGAATACTCCCAAAGCCCGGCATGAAGACTGGCGAACCTTAAGGTAAAACGGTCACCGGAATAAAAAAGAAAAACGGGGAGAGGTATGAAAAATGAGGTGTTTATAACAGATTGTGACAGGCGCGAAAAGAGAGACCATCAGAGTTCACTTTTCAAGATGGCGGCGTTATCAACTTCAACAGCCCCAACCCCCACCTGAGGTAGAGGAGCTGTCGATCAAAATCCAGTGCTGAGCGCTGATTGGCTACACTGAATGTTGATTTAAACAGGACGTGTTTGTTTTCCAGGATAAATCTTCGATTTAAACGCCCCGAAAACGGAGATTAACTTCAAAACTGTATGCCTTTTAATGGGATTACAGAACTGTTGCAATAATACATGCTATAATCAATATTTAAACGAAACGAAATATTAAGACACACCCACACTACCTACAGCCAATCGTATTTTAAGTCGATTTAAAATCACTCTTCTGATTGGGTCGCGAGAATGTCAATAAAAGGCTGATTTCAAAACTAAAAGTACGGCGACATCAAAACGCACGCATTGCTTTATCTCACCTTATTTATGAGAGCCTGTCCGCTGAACGCATTCTCTAAGTTCCAACATATCCAAATCATAAAGACGACGCGTTAACAGTTTCTTTACAATTGTACGCAAAGTCCCCGGTTCCCAGTGCCGCTTTCAGGATTGCCTTAACCGGCTGGTTTCTTTGCAACGCCCTAGCAACAATAAGACGTCACGATGATTGACACGCCACTGGTCCAATCAGCGACGAGTGCATGAACCACATAGTACTGAATGGAGACTCCAGTTTGCCTCAAGAAAAGTATTTTAAATGGTAAACCAACAGAGCAAATATTACATAAAACAGGATTTTAATTTACACCAAGCTATATTATATACAATAGACGAGTTGTAAAGGGACAGTTCCTGCTTGATAGATAGATAGATAGATAGATAGATAGATAGATAGATAGATAGATAGATAGATAGATAGATAGATAGATAGATAGATAGATAGATAGATAGATAGATAGATAGATAGATGGAAAACATGCTGAAATAAAATATAGTATGGTGACACATTGTTTACACATTGCTTGCATGTTTTAATGCGTTTCTAGGGTCAGTTAACATTTAAGGCACACTACATAACATTATTCAATTAAAAATGATAAACAGACACTCGATAAAAAAATTAATGCATTAATTTTGTTTTGCTCCCCTTTTTCATAAGCTCAATTCTCCTTTGCCGGGGTAACCCATCCACCTCTCAAGTGTGGCATATAACTCTAAATGTGCAGTTTTTATAAAACAGAACAATACCGCAGATGTCGGGAAGTTTAGAGTGAGCATGCAATTGACATGCAGACTGCACGATATTCCACCAGAGCTGCTGCCTGTGAATTTAGTGTTCATGTTTGGACCAGCATTTATGACAGTGTGTTCCAGTTCCAGCCCATATCCAGCAACTTTGCACAGCCGTTAGCTATGTTTCCATCCAAAAATGCAAATGAACTTTATGCGCAAAACTGGATTATTGCATAAAAGATGAGCGAATAAAGCAGCGTTTCCATCCAACGAGTCAAAGCGAACAAAATTGTCACTTCCTGATTAACTCGGGCCAAATATAAACAGTAAAAGTGGAATTTGCGGTGGTAAGAGAAGCTGCGTGAATCTTTTCTTCATTTTATAAATGACTTGCACCTCAGAAGGCAATCCTGACACTCAGTGAACATGTGGTGGTGTTTGAAGGCGTGAGACGTGGAGCACAGACGCTCTTGATTCTGAAGGTAATTAATAATATAATAACACTAATACTAGAAAGGTTAAGGCATTTTAGAATGACCAAAACAACATTTAAGATGTTTTACAATGTGCTCAGCCTGCTGGTTTCTCCATTCACAAACATTTTTACCATCACATGATCTCTTATAACAAAATCACATGACCTTTTTAATGCACATACTGGAATTTGTTCGGTAAAAGTGTTTCCATCGCAGTTTATCTGCATCTTTTTGTATCGAATTAAAAGTTTATCCTACTTAGTTATGCGCATACGTTCTTTAATGCGCAGTTTCAAAATGTATGCGCATCTTGGTGTTTCCATTAACCATTTTTTATGCGCATTTCCAAAATGCAAATAAAAATAGGTGGATGGAAACGTAGCTAATGTAGAGGAGTGGGCCAGCATTACACAGGCCACAATTAACCTTATCGACTCTATGACAAGATGTTTTGCATGGCGTGAGTAAAATAGTGGTCATGCTAGATGATTATTTTTCTGATAAACAGTCTGGATCCTGAGCTACATGGCGCAAAATGATTATGAGGACGCAAATACACACGTGAGTTGACACAGTTTAAAATGTTTTTATATAAGTTACAGCTACGGACAGACATAATCTGCTGATATTTTTAACTATTTTTGGGCAGAAATGTGTAAAAAAACATACATATATATACATACATACATTGTATATTTATCAGGGCTCAACAATAAGGACTGCCCAATGGTCCGGGGCAGAGTGTGAGAGACGCTTGGGACAGTAGACGGGATCATTCCTGGCCCGATTAGGGCCACCTTTTGTTAAATAATTTTGAGCTGCAATAAACTACACACATTTTCCATACTGCTCTTTTTGTTTTGTTAACACAGGATTTTGCTTTCTATACATTTATTAAAACTTTAAAATATAATTTAAATACATTATTTGAATAATTATTAACACTTAAATAATTATAGACTTTATTTTTTTTTTGACGCAGTATTTAAAATATGTGGCTAAAAATAGCTGTTAAAATTATTTTTTTCTTTAATGGGGCCAGTGAAAATACTGGCAGGGCAAGTTAAAATATCCGAACCATTGGCCCAATCGGACTAGTAGAATCTTTATATATATTATATATATATATATATATATATATATATATATATATATATATATATATATATATATATATATATATATAATATAAAGTAAAATCCTTATATATATATATATATATATATATATATATATATATATATATATATATAATATAAAGAAAAATCCTTATATATATATATATATATATATATATATATAATATAAAGTAAAATCCTTATATATATATATATATATATATATATATATATATAATATAAAGTAAAATCCTTATATATATATATATATAATGCTGTAATAATTTTAGGAGTGTAATAAATAAAAACATTTATTTAAGGTTTACAATGCAATTAAACTACTCTGTAAAAAAATGCAGGGTTCCGCACAATTCATTCATGTCGTCCAAACACAAATCAAAGTTATTGTAACAAATTTAAGTGTATTGAACATAAAACAAATATGTTGTCTTTAAAAACAAATTCAGGAATTGTGTTGTTTCAGCTCACTTAAAGTAGTTTGAGCAGCAAAAATGTTTTTGTTTTAAATGTTGATCCACTTGTTTGGTAAACAAAGCAAGTGTCATACAATATATATGCTGAAATATTCCTTTACAAACTGTATTGTAAATAAATCATATTTGCAAATTAGTTAAAATGAAATTAACATAAAAAAGGAATATATACACTGAAAAATTGATGTCTGCAAAATTGTTGCAAACAATTTATATGGTCTGAATTTAAAAAAGCAAATTAAACTTGGTAAAGTCAACTTCATTTGTTTGTTTAAATTCAGCCCAAATAAATTGTTTACAACCCCTTAACTTAAAAAATTGAGTAAATCCAAGGAATCATCATTGAATCATTTTTTTTTTCAGTGTTATTTACACACATTTAGGCCTGCCTAAATAAACATAATAAATGATGGGCTAAAAAAAATCCGCAGATTTCTTTGTGCGCAGATTCCTCATGGCCTCCATCACAAGCAAGTAGCAATGTAAACAATCTGAAGGTGAGTAAATCCACAGGAAATGTATATTTTTAGGTGAACTATCCCTTTAAATGTGTCCATTTCTTGAATCATTGATAAAATATAGGTCAAAAGTCCTTTTTCTTTTCTCTACAGACTGCCCATAGTGCAGACAGGCAATTAGAGCTTTAGTGTGGCGTGTCAAATAGGATCTGACGTGTGACCCTTATGTTAAATGTGATGCATAAATCTCCGGCGTCAGGCTGTGCAACTGATCTGTTACAGCTGATGACGGCTGTATTTCAGACATGCGAGATCTATTTTGCGTTGCATGTTCCATAAGCATAACAAAATCTGCGGTTGACTCATTGTATACATTAAAAGCAGCCATATTTAATGTGTTTCATATGCAGCAAATGAACCCTATGATCACAGACTGTCGTGTGGCTTTCTATAAACATGTATTACTGAAGTGCTTTTGCTTTGTAAAGAATCTAACATGTGCGTATGATTGTTCAACACAATCCTGCCTACAATAATCAAAGATCTTGTCAGGCAAAGATCTTGTTGCAGACCATGGCGTAAAATACATGCTAAGATGTATTTCAGGCTTCTGGAGTCATTAAAGAAGTTTCTACTGTCTTTTTTATTAGTTATTATAATGGTGTTATAATATGGATTTGCAATTTGTTCAGTCAAGATGAACAACATTAAGAGGAATAAAACTTTAGGCTGAATTGCATGTTTATACATAGCAGTATAATCTCAGGGCTAATAATTATGGAGTCATTATCAAATTAATTTGTATTGTGATTTATTTACACTGAGCCTCAATTCAGTGTTATCTTTATTAGGATTTTAATATTTTTTAATTATTTTTTAAAAAGAGTTTATTATTGTTTTCTATTGTTTAGATTTTTATTTTCAGTCAGTTGAAAACAGAAGTTTACATACACTCTAAAAAAAGGAACATAACCATTTAAAAAAAAATGTCTGATGGTAAATCATACTCAACGTTTACTATTTTAGGTCTGTTATGAGTACCTAAATGATTTACATTTGCTAACTGCCAGAATAATGAGATCATTTTTTTTATAATTTTTATAATTTTTTATTAATTTCTAGACAGTCAAAAGTTTATATTCATTTCCTTGTTTTTTTTTTTTTTTTAGCTTTGCTTTTAAACTGTATAACTTTGGTCAAATGTTTTGGGTATCCTTCCACAAGCTTCTCACAATAGTTTGCAGGAATTTTGGCCCATTCCTCCTG